TATTTTCTGATTATCCACTTTGTGGTGAAAAAGGAGGTGGATCTCTATGTACGGACATGGAAAGATCTTACGATAAATGAAGTGAAATAAGGTGTATTACGGTGCATACAGCCTGCTGCCACTTGTGCCAAGAATTGTCAATTAACTGTTTAAAAGGCCAGGAAAAGAAGAACAAAGAACAAACTGAAAAGAAATTGTAAAATGGTGGACTTAATCCCAAACGGAACTGTAATTACATCTGATGGAAAAGAGATAAACACTCCCATCAAAAGCAAACATGAGGGGCGCCTGGGTGGCTCAGTTGGTTAAGCGACTGCCTTCGGCTCAGGTCATGATCCTGGAGTCCCGGGATCGAGTCCCGCATCGGGCTCCCTGCTCGGCAGGGAGTCAGCTTCTCCCTCTGACCCTCCCCCCTCTCATACTCTCTCTCATTCTCTCTCTCTCTCAGTAAATAAAAATCTTTTAAAAAAAAAGCAAACACGAACAGATTGGATTAAAAGAGTAAGGTCCATGGGGCGCCTGGATGGCTCAGTCGTTAAGCGTCTGCCTTCGGCTCAGGTCATGATCCCAGCGTCCCGGGATCGAGCCCCGCATCGGGCTCCCTGCTCGGTGGGGAACTTGCTTCTCCCTCTCCCACTCCCCCTGCTTGTGTTCCCTCTCCCGCTGGGTGTCTCTCTCTGTCAAATAAATAAATAAAATCTTAAAAAAAAAAAAAGAGTAAGGTCCTACTATACGCTTTCTGTAAAGCCCTCTTTAAATATCAATGAACACGACAGACAATGAACACAGACTGGGTAGTTAAACAGAAATTTTTTCTCTCAGTTCTGGAGGTGGGACATCTGAAATCAAGGTGTTAGCGGGCCTGTTTCTCCTGGATGCTCCGAGGGGGAAGCCATTGTCTGTGCCTCTCCAGCCTCTAGTGGTTGCCCACAACCCCTGACTGTTCTTGGTCTCTGCACCCACCACTTCCTCTTTCTCGTTCCTCACATGCTCTTCTCTTTTGTGTTCTGTCCAAGTTTTCTCCATCTCATTAGGAACCGGTCATTGGATTAGGGTCTGCTCGAATCCAGTGTGACCTCACTCAACTTGACAACGCCTGTGAAGATCCTATTTCCTATAAGGTCACATCCACGGGTCCTGGAGGCTGGGACTGGAGCATGTCTTCTTAGGGGACACAACTGAATCCAAGACACTATGCAAACACTGATCAAAATCAAGCTGGAAGTTAGCTCGATTCGCATCACACACAACAGACTCTAGAACAGGACATGTTATGGGAAGAAAAAGGAATTTTTAAAATGGTAAAGGGGGTCAGTTCATCAAAAAGGCTAATCAACCCTCATCGTGTGTCTGCTCCAGAACACGACAGCCCATAAAGAAGACATGGGACAAGACAAAGGGGAAATAGACAAATCCATCACCAGAAGTGGAGATTTCGACATCTCTCTCTGAGCAATGGTAGAACCAGCACACACAAAATCAGAAAGGTTTTCGAATATTTGAACAGCGCAGTCCACCCACTTGACCTGCCACAGAACACTCTATCCAGCAGCAGCAGTACCTTTTCCAAGTGTACGGGGAACCTTCACCAAGGTGGGCCACGCTACGGACATAAAGCAAATCTCAAATTTTAAAAAGGACTGAAATCCTACAAAGTATGTTCTCTGGCCACCACATCATTACACAAGAAACTAATTTTGGAAACATACCTGGAAAATCCTCACATTTTTGGAAATCAAGGACACATTTCCAAGTAAACCGTGGGTCCGAGAAGAAATCATCACGGAAATTAGAAACACCATTCTCAACAGAAAGCACCACGTAATTGTGTGGGGTACAACTAAAGTAGTGTGTAGAGGGAGAATCACAGCCTTCAAAAGTATGTGAGATTCCGACCCTCGTCTCTCCCACTGTTATTTTATAAGGGTCATGAAAGTTCACTTAATTTTCCTGATCCTTTTGCATTTATTAGCTAAAATTCTTCTTGATAGAACCAACTATTTTACCTTGAAGTATAAGGTAAAATATGAAAGGCAAGACTAATTACTTTTTGCTTGAGTCTTTGGTTTATTTTCAGAGTCATGACACGATGCTCAGCAATATTCACCTGAGATTATACATGATTTTTTATTCTTTAGAAGCTCACATGGTCCCGGTGGGGGGGGGGGCTCATGAAGCTGGCTTCTCAGTCCTTCCCCCCTCCCCAACAATTTACTATAAAATGTGCAAACATTTGAAAAGTTCAAAGAACTTTTCAGGAAACAGTTACAAACCTACAGCCACGACTCTGCAGTGATCACTTTTCTTTGATCGGCATCTCCAACGCTACTACCTTCTCAGAGCCTGTTTTCAGTTCATGGGTCTCCTTCTAGGTCTTTCTCTGGGCACCGTACATATTTCCCTGTCGTGATAGTCTGCTAGGGGCAGCCATAACAGAATACCACTGAGCGGGTCTCACAGTTCTGCAGCCTGGACATCCAAGGTCAAGGTGCGAGCAGGTCTGATTTCTCCGGAGGCCTCTCGGGACATGGGCAGAGGCTGCGGGTCCCACCGCTATTTCTCCTGTCTGACAACCCGGTGCCGATGTCAGCGGGGGAGTTCCGTTGCTCCCAACCCGGGGTCCTGCCACATTCTGCTTGAGTATCCTCAGGACACGCGGTGGCTAGCTTCTTTCAGAGCCAGTGAGCTGAGAGAAGACACTGCGTTCCAGATGGAGACCTACCATTTTTAGGACGTAGATTTGGAGGGGACATAGCATCACTCGGCGCCATCCTATTCCATAGAGTGATTAAGCGCACTTGCCCTGTAGGGGAGCAGGGTCTGGCTTGGAATTGATGAACCCATCACAGATGAACATGGACGCCCACTTCTGGGACGCTTCCATTCCTGAACATGGTCTCTCTCAAGACTGTAATTCTAAGATGGCAAGAATCGTGCATTCCTTGCTCACCCCCATACCCTCAATGGAGCACCCCCCACTTGGGCCCCTCACACACTCAGAACTGCTACTGCAGCGCGTCTCAGACCTTTGGGGGTGGTGGGACAGCTGACGGTCTGCGGGCACTCTCTCCAACATGAAGAGATGTCTTCTGAAAACACACAGGTTGTTTTGATTCACGTCACCTGTGTTAAAGGGGGCTCTGGGCTGGCTCTGTATGAAGAACATGGGACTCTTGATCTCGGGGTTGTGAGTTCAAGACCCACATAAAGGGTCCCACATACCCCATCTTGGGCATAAAGATTTTGTACATAAATAAATTTTAAATATATACACATATATACATATATTAAGGGCACCTGGGTGGCTCAGTCGGTTAAGCACCTGCCTTCCACTCAGGTCATGATCTCAGGGTCCTGGATTGGGTCCTGCATCCAGCTCCCTGCTCAGCGGGGAGTCTGCTTCTCCCTCTGTCCCTCCCCCTGCTCATGCTCTCTCTCTCAAATAAGTAAATAAAATCTTTAAATATATATATATATAGGGAGAAAAAAATTAATAAAAACCATGACAAGGCCCCTCTCGGGGAAGCAGTGACGAGCAGTCAGGGGCTCCGTGCTGCACATGCATGCCCCAAAAGCCTTCCCCAAGACACACATAGCTGCCCAACTGAGGTCAGCCGTTTCCAAGCTTTTCTGTGAGTATCTGCTTCCTGTTGGTGAATCTGTCACCTTCAGCACTTTCTACAAGAGAAGGGCTGGCAGAACCCAGTGACGGATGAAAACTGCGGATGCAACTAGAAATTAGGCCAACGCTGACCTCCGGGGGAAACCGGTCTGCCCGCACAGACGGGGAAACTGAGGCAGGGAGGCCACAGAGCTGGAAGCAGGACGGCGAGGATTCAAACCCAGTGTCAGGCAAGTCGAGCACGTTCTGTTTAAAATAAGGCCCCGTGTTGTTTCGACTGAGGGAAAATACATCGGACTTTAAATGTAGCTCTGGCTGCTTTTCCGTGCGCAGTGGAGGCGTCCGGAGCACACCGGCGCGGCTGTGCGGTCGTCCCCCCGCACCCCGTACGCCTCAGGACTTCCCGCGTCCCCACTCTGAGCCTCGGTCCCCGGCACACACCGACCCCCACCGGACTCCTTCCCACTGCAGCCGACCCGCTCCTGACGCGCCCCCACCGCACCTGCCAGCTCTGGGCCCGCCCCTCGGCAGCAGGGCCCGCCCACCCACGTGACCCCTCTCCCCACCCCCGCGCGCTCGCGCGTCTGAGGGCGGAGGCCTCCGCGGGCTGAACCACGGTGCCCGTCGGAATGGGGGAAGGCGGAATTACCGCCGCCGCCGTCGTGGGCTCGGGCGTAAGTGATTCAAGCAACTCGCCTTCACTTTGGTGTGGCGCCGGACAGGCGTCTCTCCATCAGTGCTGGCCATCTCTGGGCCGCCGGGGGTTCCTTTTCTATTTTGGAATCGTCCATTCTTTTTGCCCAGTCAGTAGACGAGTCTAAAAGCCCACACGGAAAGGGGGAACTTACCCCTGTAAGCGGAAATACCTGTCCGGTGAAAGGCTGAGATCTCACAACCAAGAGCACTCGATGAGCTCGGAGCTTTTTCTAGGGTGTACTGTAGAGCTCTGTGGTCATGCAATTTCGGTTACTAAGCCGGTCGCTCGCCCCTCCCTCGGCGTCACCAGTGGTTTGCCCCGCGGCGCAGCGCCCGCCGGGAGAAGGCAGGGAGTGGCTGCCATGTTGGACGGAACCACCCGGCAGCACGGACGGGGGCAGCCGCGGCTCCCCGTGAGTCTGTGGATTGAGCCCTGCAAGTGTGGTGCGGGGCTTCGAGCGCGCGCGTGTGATGGGCGCGCAGCCGTGGTCCCCGGTGCACACGCTTGCGCCCCCCGGGGCCCTCCGGGCGCGCTGCGAGCATCAGGGCGTGGGCGCCCCCCCTCCCCGAGCTCCGTGGGTCGGCCCGCCGCACGCACATGGCCCGGCGGCAGGCGCCGCGCGGTGCGGCCTGGGAGAGTCGGAAGCGCGGCGAGGCCGGGCGAGGCGGCAGCGGCGGCCCCATGCAGGACGCGGAGAACGTGGCGGCGCCCGAGGCGGCCGAGTCCGGGCAGCAGCATCAGCAGCCGGCTGCTGAGCCGCCGCCGGGCGAGGAGCCGCCGCGGCCCGCGGGGCCCGGCGCGCAGGAGGCGGCGGGCGGCGAAGACGCGGAGGCCGGGCCGGAGCCCGACGTGCTGGCCAAGCCGGCCGAGCCCGCGGCCGACGGGGAGGAGAGGGCGGCCTTGGCCCCCGGCTCGTCCCCGCCGCCGCCGTCTGAGGAGCCCCCCGCCCCGGCCGCGGGTGAAGCCCCGGCCGAACAGGCCGGGGACGCGGGGGCCGAGGCCCGGTCCGAGGGGGCGGGCGGGGAGGATGGCGGCGCCGATGAGCCCTCTTTCAGCGACCCCGAGGACTTCGTGGACGACGTGAGCGAGGAAGGTGAGGCGGCGCGGGGGTGGGTGGGCGGCAAGGCAGTCCCCGCGCTGCACCTGTCGTCCGGCGAGTAGGGACGGCCTTCTGGGGGCGTTTGGGTCTCCTTTCCTGTTTTGTCTCTCCGAAATAAGACGGGGGAGGGCGGGCACCTTGGGGACAATTTGGGAGCCTCCCGTGGGCCCTGGAACCAGGAACTTGGAGGATGGTGATGGGCGGCAGCGCGCAAGCTGGAACCTCGGCCGTGTGTGGCAATTAAGGTCGAGCAAAGCGGGACGCTCCACGTGCCGCACTCTCTCGGGTGACAGTTCCTTGTCTGCAAGCCCGGGTGCCCCGAGTGACGAGCCACACCTGTCAAAGGCCTGGGACCAACTTCGTGAGGACACTTTTGGGGTTGATGCGTGCTGTCCCTTAGAACAGGTTGTGGCAGAGTTGGATTCCTCTGCCCCTGCTGCATGGGAGCTTCTGCCTCCAGAGAGTTCCTTCGCAGGACTGGTCAGCCTACCGCCACATTCCTGTTTGGTTCTAAGTCCCTACGTGGACCACTGTCCTCCTGTTGGCAGATGATCTTTTCAGAATTTAGTGTTGCTTTGCTTTCCTTTTTACCTTGATTCAGTTTATAGGTGTTATGTCTGCTTTTGTCCTGAGAGCTTGTCTCCTAACGACTTCTGTAGGTGGCCAAGCTCATTTGTTTTTGTTCGTTTATGTTTTTAGCCCTTTGAACTCTTCGCGCTGTGAGGACATCAGTGGATTCCTCTACATCATAGTAAAATAGGAAAGATAAGCCATCTGTGAAGCAGCTCAGGCTACACCAAGAAAATAAGATGTCACATAAAGATACGTTTTTTTTTTTGAGTATTGCGTCTGATCACACTGAGTCAGAATCAAAGAATCTCAAGTAAAAAAAGAAAACGTAGGGAACTACCAGCATCGTCTACTTTTAAGCGTAATATTAAAGAGCTAGCTGTTACTGTCACTATTCTTACGGTCTATTTCATAAGAGACATCATGGCATGAGCAGCAGGAAAGGCTGCACATCTCGGGAACACTTGGGCTGCTGGTCCAGCTGGGGTCCCCTACCTGCAAGAAAACGTGTTCCCCGTGGTGGGGTAGGTGGCGGAGAATTTATAAGGAGGCAGTGTCACTGGGACCCCCACCACTCTCTCCTGCCCTGACAGCATTCATTTTTACTGCAACAATTTTTCATATATTTTAAAATGTAAGTTTTGGGTTGAAAGTCCATTTTAAGCCCCTGAGTGTTTACTCTGCAGTTGTTTTTTTTAAAAAGCAGTTGTTCGAGCACAAGATTACTAACTTTGCTGTGTGACAGGATGCTGATGTGGGCACAAGCCAGCCAGGCCAAGTGACTGCGGGAGGGCCTTTGGGGGCCCTTGTGATCCTGATACTTTTGCCAGAGTGCCCCAAAAGGCCCCTGGTCCTGGGGATCCAAAACTGAGCACATCGCCAGTGTTTTTGAGGCCATCTGGTTGTGGTCAGTAGGCCAAGTACATTTTGTGTTTAATGAGAAGAACTGGCCTGCGGGGTCAGCGAGATGCGGAAGGTATGGGTGGTATGAAAGCAGACGGGGTCTCATGAGTCCCCTGGAGGTAACCGCAGCTCCAGCGTGGTCGTCCGGACTCCTGATTCTGAGATGTTAGACTGTTGCCCAGTTGCCTTGTTCCCGCGGTCTTGGGTCATCCATTTGAATTTTCAGCTGCCTTTGATGCTCAGCCAGACAAGTACATGACAAAGTTGGGTCTGTTTGTGTGTATTTGAGAAAGCGAGCAGGTGAGGGGAGGGAGAAGCAGACCCCCTCCCTCCCACCTCCAAACCCTGCTGAACAGGGAGCTCGACATGGGACTCAGTCCTAGGACCCTGTCCCAGGACCCTGAGATCACGACCTGAGCTGAAGGCAGATGCTTAATCAGCTGAGCCACCCGGGCGCCCCCATGACGAAGTTCTTAATTCAAGATGGTTTCTTTTGGGGCCTGTCAAATATTATTTATCTTTACATTTGGTATTTAGTTTTGAGAATTGCTTTTTCCTGTTTCTCTTGGAGCCAGGTTGGGAATCAATTTGGCAAGAGTGACCCGACACGTGGGCTGGTGATGATGGAGGAAATGTCTCTTCATTGTGCAGTTGCTGTGTTTATTCACTTACCGTATATGGGCACATTCTTATAAACTATAGACACTTAAAGATTGTGGGAAGGAGTCCACTGTTTGTATAAAAGCTGAGCTTTTTATTGTAAACCTTGTAAATTCAGATCAGGCTAAACAGGCCATTTAATTGTATGGTAAGTGTGCTTTAAAAACAACCCACGGAGCTGACTCCAGCCTCACTGGTTGAAGGTGTCTCCCATTGCTGTGAGTCTGGTTGGCCTCTTTCCTTCTTTTTTCTCTTTGCTTGCTCTCAGTTTTAGCCTCTTTGAAGTTTAAGAGGCAATTCTTTTTTTAAAGTCATGTTTTTAATATTTATGAAAGTATTGAAATTAATTAAAGAGTTTATAACAGGGTTTGCTTCTTGAAATTAAAAGACTTTTCCTTTTTGAAAGACCTTTTTAACTTTTTATTACGGAAAATTTCTAGTGCAGAAGTGGAGAGAATTTGTCTTGTGGGAATGAAATGCAGCAAGGGATATTTTCGGACATGTATCCTGTTTAGCATGTTGAAATTCTTAAGAGTAGAATTCAAAGCTTGGAGTAATAATTAGGTTCCAGGACACATAGTACACAAGTAAAAGCCACCACTATTCCTCAGCTGTTTCAGAGTTACCTCAGACTCTCCTTTGGGCTGTATGTCCTGCTGTAGATTCATCTGACCTTGTGCTTTCATCTGTTTTAGCTCCTCATGTAGCCAGTGCTTTGCAACTTTATAGCTTTCTAGATTGGGTTGAGGGTTTGTGCAGAATTGATATTAAAAAGATCTCTGGTCCTCCATATGACCGGCAAATGTCCATCTCCAGCAGCGGGTCAGGCAGTTTATTGGTGGTGGAGCCTCACGGTCCAAAGGCCTCGAGGCCAGCAGCAGGCTGCAGGCAAGACTGCGGTGGGCTCGCGCCCAGGTGGCATTGCAGCTCCTGGACAGACTGCGCCCCTGTCCCTCCCACACCTGTGGTCCGTGCCCCACATGCTGCTTTTCCTGCTCCTCCCGCCCCGTCCTTCTCTTTCATCCAGCCAATCGTCTCACGGAAGTGAAGCAAACCTAAGATGTTAAGATTTGGGTTTTATGATCTTAATTTTTAAAGTAGGTGACATGAACATAATTTTCAGTTTTTGAGTGTAGTTATGAAAATAACGGTTAACACGTACTGTTTACTGTGTCCCAAGCACACTCCTAAGCATTTGTGGATTTATAGTCCGAATGGCTGGTGCCTTCTAAGCACCCTGTGAGGCGTTTCATGGAATCAGGACACTGTCGGTAGTCAGGGCATTGCTGTCAGGAGCTTGTGGATTCTCTAATCTCCTCGCTTACAAGGCTCTTGTACATAGTGTTGGGTCCTGTTGGGTTCGAGGTGTCTGTTTTGTCTTAACCTGAATGGGGAGAAAGTGCCTGCTGGTGGGTTTGATCCAGGGTGGGTCAGAGAAGGCTCAGCACAGGTGGTTGCTGCCCTGCTTTCCTGGAGAAAGGCCCCGTCCTCTTTGTTGGCATTAAAGTCTAAAAAAAAATTCACTTAAGATCTTGCATTATTTTCAGGAATGAATGGAGTTATTGATGGACAGAGGGAGCATTAAGAGTTAAAATCTTCCTAACTTTTAAAAGTTTTTAAGTTTTGATTCAGTTCAGGGCCTTGATTTGTTCACAGTGAAAGCGTTTATTCATTTTTTACTACTTGGAAATTTGTCCAACGTGCTAAACTAATGTATCAGTGTTTTGCTTGGCCCAAAAAAAGTCATTTGTCCAATCTCCCACCCATATAGAACTGCTGGGGGACATTCTCAAGGACCGGCCCCAGGAGGCCGACGGGATAGACTCAGTGATCGTGGTCGACAACGTCCCTCAGGTGGGGCCCGACCGCCTGGAGAAGCTCAAAAACGTCATCCATAAGATCTTTTCCAAGTTTGGGAAAATCACAAATGACTTTTACCCGGAGGAGGATGGAAAGACTAAAGGGTGAGTAGTGGCGGTCGGGGGGTGCCGGAATCCCTGTGGATGCGCATGGTGCTCGCCTCACCTGGCGGTTCTGCTCTTTGTTGATCCCCCGCCCTCAGCTGAGGGCTCCAGACGGGCAGCAGGAGATCCCGTGGTTCTTGAATTTGGGTGTTGTGGGTGGGCTGCTGAATTCTTAAGAAATCAGAACTTGGTATTTAAATCTTCTGCCATCAGAGCCATAATTGACACAAGAGACATCCTGGATAAAGGTACCAGCAGATTGGAAGGTGGCAAAACTTCAGGAAATTTTTACATACGGTATTTTACTGATTCTAAACTGAGCTTTTCATGTCCCCCCTCTGAAGTGGGGATACGTCTTACAGTCGGTGTGAAAGCTGTGTCACTGCTTAATTAGCAGCTTTTCCCCTACTGTTACCTAAGTAGTGCATCTGTTAAAAACGGTAGCGTGAGATGGCATCCTAGAATTTGCTTTTTAAATTCAGTGCAAGGTTTTGTGTGTTGTAAATGTGACTCTGGTTCCTTCATTTTCTGCTGTGCTGTTCTCTCCTATCTGGCGGCGATTCTAGGGGTTGACCTTTGGCGTCTCACGGGAGCAGTCTTGTACTCCTCCTACGCCTTTAGGACAGGGGTGGGCCTTTACTTGTTACATACTTCGGAGTGGAACTGGCTTGCCTAAGATGCCCATCTGCAGTCCCACGAGACAGCATCAGATTGTGCTCGGGTGGTTGTAACTCGTTCCAGTTGACCAACAGAACACAAATTCTGGGGCGCCTGGGTGGCTCAGATGGTGAAGCGTCTGCCTTCGGCTCAGGTCATGATCCCAGGGTCCTGGGATCGAGTCCCGCATCGGGCTCCCTGCTCCTTGGGAGCCTGCTTCTCCCTCTGCCTCTCTCTCTCTCTCTGTCTCTCATGAATAAACAAATAAAAAAGTTTAAAAATAAATAAATAGAACACAAATTCTGCTGCTCCGCAAGCTTGTGGACTTTTCTCTGTTAGAATTCCATGTCATACTGGTCTCAGAGTACAGGCAGCTCGTCTTTTATGGGACAGGAATGAGAAGATAACAACATTTACACTTTTTCAATTTCAGATTTTGAAACTACCTATGATAGCTTTTAAGAAATCATTTTTTAAAAAAACTGCCAAATGCTGGTTATGCTCCTTGCATTTTCTTAGAAATCAGGTGGAAGGATAACCTCTTTTTGACCAGCAGTTGCTTGTGTTGTATGTTTTATTATAACGGAACATTCTCTGAAAGCCTTTATGATTTTACTTTTTATGAAAGATTTATTTGTGGGGGAGGGGCAGAGGGAGAAGGGAGAAAGAGTCCCAAGCAGACTCCATGCTCACTGCATGGATCCCAACATGGGGCTCGATCCCACGACCCTGAGATCATGACCTGAGCTGAAACCAGGAGTCTGACGCTTAGCTGACTGCACCACCCAGGTGCCCCTATAATTTTGCTTTTAACACACAATATCAGACTATATATGTTCTCAGATTTTCTAATAGCTTCATTTGAAAGTTTCCGTGCAATACACTTGTATAGTCTTAAAGTGTATAATCTCTTAAGTTTTGACACGTATATATCTGTGAAACCATTACCACGGTCAAGATAGTAAACACTTTAATTAGTTAACTGTTGTTTGATTTGTGATTGTGGCATTAGGGACTTTGGATCTTCTGTTTAGGATTTCGTATGTGTTTAAGGAACCACTCTGCCAGTGACTTGACTCTGGGGGACGTGGCAGATAGGTTAAAGGCCTTGATGGTGCTTACAGGTCACATGGACGGGTCTTGGTGTGTTGAACACAGCCCGCCTGGTCTTACAGTCTCACTTGCGCTCTGTCTCGATTCAGCTATACGTTCCTAGAATACGCATCTCCTGCCCATGCCTTGGACGCCGTGAAGAATGCTGATGGCTACAAGCTGGACAAGCAGCACACGTTCAGGGTCAACCTCTTCACAGACTTCGACAAGTAAGTTCCAGCTGGGTGAGAGCCTGGGCCTTCACCAGGCGGGAGAGGCTCCCCACTTCCGGGGGGCCGTGTTGGTGGCCCTTCCGGGGAGCTCTGTTCTGCAGGCACGCCGCCGCCGCGGGACTATTTCCCATGCCAGCCCCTGACACTCCTGGCCAGTAGCACCCCTCACCCACTATTCCCTCCCCTGTCCCCACCCCACCCCAAGGGGGACAGGGGTGGCGCCACACTGCCTGTGGCCGAGAGCCCCCAGTGTTGCTGCCCCCTTTGTAGTTGTGCTGTGTGTTGCTAATCGGTTCCTTCTTTTCTTCCAGGTATATGACCATCAGTGATGAGTGGGACATCCCAGAGAAACAACCTTTCAAAGACTTGGTACGTGGGTGGAACCTGTACGAGGACTGGGAAGCTGGCCAGCCCTGTGGCTTGCGGGGTTGAGCTCCTCAGTCGCTGCTGCTGGCCTGAGTCGGTCAGACCTCCAGGGGCACGAGGCAGGAATCCGGCTTCTTGGATGAAAGTTGATGAGACAGACTCTATCCCTTGTCTTTGCTTGTTTTTCCAGGGAAATTTACGTTACTGGCTCGAAGAGGCAGAATGCAGAGATCAGTACAGTGTCATTTTTGAGAGCGGAGACCGTACTTCCATATTCTGGAACGACGTGAAGGATCCTGTTTCTATCGAAGAGAGGGCGGTGGGTATTCGCTGCCACGTGGGGATTCCTCTCTATTTCTGTGCCAGGGGGACTGGGTACCCGAGCAGGTGGAGCGTCATGTTCTTCTAGACTGCATCCCTGAGAACAATATTCTTCGTTCTTCTAGCTTTGAAACAAGCCATTAGACTTGAGGAGGCTTCTTGTGTTTTCCAGTTAAGAGTGAGAGGAGTCGATTCCTTACAGAAGGAGGGGACTTTGTGCTGGTGTCCTGTGGTCATTTTAACACTGGTCTGACTTTTCCCGCAGAGATGGACGGAGACGTATGTGCGCTGGTCTCCCAAGGGCACCTACCTGGCCACGTTCCATCAGCGAGGCATTGCTCTCTGGGGCGGAGAGAAATTTAAACAAATCCAGAGATTCAGCCATCAGGGGGTTCAGCTCATTGACTTCTCACCTTGTGAGAGGTAAGCGGTGAGGAGAGGCAGGTGGAGTCCATTCTCACTTCGTGCTGGCCTCTGCGCGTCATTGTACAATTTTGCAGTAATTTCAAACTAACGGAAGTTTCGCAGGAGGCGTAGAAGGAGCTCGTGTGTACTCTTTACCGACGTGCCCCGCTTAGCACTTTGTGGGGCTTGCTTTATCGTTTGTCCGCACAGACACACGTGACTTTGTCTTAAGCCATTGGGAGTGAGTGGAAGCTTTGTGTCTCTGTCCGCCTGTGTGCATTTCTAGGGGCAGGGAAAGCCCTTCACTTGTCCATGGTGCCGCCCTGACTGCGGGAGATCTAGCACCCATCTGCGACATCTTTACCATCCGGTTCCCACATTTCACTCGGCCCAGTAATGGTTTTATAAAACTTTCGTCTCCTCAGTTCCAGGGCTAGTCCACGCTTGTGTCCTGTGCCTCTCATTTCATTGTGATTGGCATTTCCTCACACATGAGGCGGCAGAGGTTTGGGGAGCAGGTGCAGTACCAGGAACTGGAAGGAGCGCTCCCGGAGCCAGGCAGGGTCTTCCTGTCCGCTCTCGGCTTCAGTGCCCTGCACGCCCTCCCGCACCGCTCTTTGTGCCCCTGCTCAGGGCTGTCCCCAGGCTTTCCTTGTCGTGTCCCCTCCTCTGTCCAGAAGAGTTTGGCCCCCGCCACGTGGTCTTACTTCATCGTGGGTCGTGACAGCCCCTCGTGTTCCCGGGCTCCGGAGACGCGGCTCTCCTGCACCCGCTCTACTTTTGAGTTTTTTGGCATAAAGTTTTTCTAACACCAGGAAAACTTGAGAGGACTTTAGTAATATCTCTGTGCTAAATATCTAGCTTAAAATTTTATTTTGCCATATTTGTTTCAAAACACTTTAGGGCAGCGGTGCCTGAGTGGCTCAGTCCGTTAAGCATCTGCTTTCAGCTCAGGTCATGAACCCAGGGTCCTGGGATTGAGCCCCACGTCTGGCTTCATGCTCAGCGGGGAGCCTGTTTTTCTCTCTCTGCCACTGCCTCGTGCTCTGCTCTCTCTCGCTATCTCTTTCTCTCTCAAATAAATAAATAGAATCTTAAAAAAAAAAAACAACAACTCTTTGGGGCATTTTGTACAAGTGCTAGGTTCCTCTAGGAGATAGGCATCAGTCCAAGTGAAGGTGTTCCTTCTCTGTGGTCACGATTCTTTCCTCCTGCTCGGCAGCCCTGACCAGTTTCCTCAGCATCTTCTAATGTCCACGCTCGCTCAGATTCCCTCTGTCCCACAGTTTCCATCGTTGGTGGCTAGTTGTTCACACCCGGGTCCAGCCCTAGCGCTCGTGTGTGCGGTCCACCTGTCGCCCTGTGCGGCCTGCCCTTGCTGGGTGGTGCTTTGGTGGTGGCTTATGAGGAACACGGGGCCGGGGGGTGGGGGGTGTCTGATCCTTCCTCAGGGCATCACCTAACTGGTTCCTTCCATCCTTGTGTTTCTGTAAACTGCAAGTTCTACATGACGGACGTTTCTTAGTTTTGGTAAAGTCGTTTTTCTGGCCTGTATTCTTGGAGGACTCACGAATTCACAAGCGCTTGGCATCTGCTTGGTACAGAACACTTGAGCTGCTCCTTGTGAAGCAGTGTATTAGAACCCGGTGCACGTGGAGACTCCTGAGCTCTGTGCGCAGGTGGCGTGTGTGGGGAGGAGCCCCCGTGGGCCGGCCACAGGTGCTTCCACATGCGCGCTTGTCATTTGTGTGTGTGACCTCTGTCTGCTTACAGACGGCACCTGGGCCCTCTTACTCATCATGTCCCTGGTGCTCCGCAAGGTGCCTAACACAGGAACCCCTTGGTGAGGCAGCAGTGCGTGCTTTGTCCTGCAGATTAGTGTGAAAAGTCCTATTTTTCAGGGGCGCCTGGGTGGCTCAGTCGTTAAGCGTCTGCCTTCGGCTCAGGTAGTGATCCCAGGGTCCTGGGATCGAGCCCCGCATCGGGCTCCCTGCTCAGTGGGAAGCCTGCTTCTCCCTCTCCCACTTCCCCTGCTTGGGTTCCCTCTTGTGCTGTCTATTTATCAAATAAATAAATCTTTAAAAAAAAAAAAAAGTAACGCAGACCTAGACTTTTAAAGAAAAAAAAAAGAAAAGCCTGTTTTTCAGATAAGCGCCAAATCAGGCTGTTTTTGTTGTTCAGCATGGCGGTGTGATATTGTTTAGCAGGTGTACAGGACAGTCTGTAGAGGGAACCTCGTGACTTGGGGGAAGTGACACCATCCCTTATTGTTAATTAACGCACTGGGATGATAAAGGGCCTGGGAGGCCCTGGGGGCCCCTGGACAGGGCCTGGGCTCTGTTTCTGCCTCTCCTGCCTCGTGTTTTGAGAGGCTGTGCCGTGTGTCAGGAAAGTGAGTGGGGGCCCTGGGTATAGACAAGCCCGAGTCAGCAGAGGGAGAAGCCCCAGGCACAGAGTTTGGGCTAGACAGACGTGTGCTGGCTTTTGAGACACATGTGGCTGTTCCTTTTCCCTTTTTGTCCTAACTAAATGTCGATGAAAATCAAGTAGGAGAATTGCACCCCACTCAGCCTAGAGCGCACACATGCAGACTTTGGTTTGATATTCGTTGGATCTTTCAGTGCCCTGATTTTGTGGAGAAACCTTTTAAGGGGGGATCCTTCAAAGTGCCCTGGCGCCTCAGAGGTGGCCTGCTCCATGGTCGGAGCAGGTTCTGGTGGGAGAGCATTCTCGGGAGCTGGGGTTTGGAGGCTGTGCTGGCTGTAGGAGTCTCGACTGCTTACTCTGGCAGCACCCCCCCCCCGCCCCGCCCTGGACCTGGCGCTGTCTGGAGTGGAGGCTCGGTGGGTTCGGGTGCTCACCTCCACACGCAGCATGGTGCTCGGGGAAGGAAGGTGGGATGGTGGGCGGATTATCAACAGTGTCCCCTCTGTGACAGATACCTGGTGACATTCAGCCCTCTGATGGACACCCAGGATGACCCTCAAGCCATCATCATCTGGGACATCCTGACCGGACAGAAGAAGAGGGGTTTTCACTGTGAAAGCTCAGCCCATTGGCCTATCTTTAAGTGAGTCAACCGTGGTGGCCCGCGGAGAGCTTGTGGGGGCCTTTTCTTCTCACGACAGAGCCTGATACTTTTCTTCTTTCTCAGGTGGAGCCACGATGGTAAATTCTTTGCCAGAATGACACTCGACACTCTTAGCATCTATGAAACTCCTGTAAGTGACGTGGTTTCCTCAGTGGGGGCTGCACACGGCAGGAGCTGCTGGGGGCATGGTGCTTCCCTTGTCCCGTCGGCAAGGGGAAGGGAAGAGCAGTGTTGTCTGTGCAGAACGGGGGGAGCTCTGTGTGCCACTCCGCGGCTGCCCCTTTCGCGTCGCTGCCCCTGGGTTCCGGCCCCTGATTTGCTTTTGCTCCTGCCGGCGGTCCAGGACGGGAGCAAAGAGAAGTGGCGTTAGAGATGGGTGCTTTGCCGCTGCGGGTGACCTGTTTCCTTGCTGTGTGTCCCCTGCTAGGCTTACTTGCCGGGCTCATTCCAGAAACGCTGGTTTCCTTTTCGTGAAGATGTGGGTGTATTATGGAGACCGTGGTGTGGTTTAACTCCGTTGTCGCCCTTTTTATTCCGCAGTCTATGGGCCTTTTGGACAAGAAGAGCTTGAAGATCTCCGGCATAAAGTAAGTGAGCGTTCTTCCCGGTGGGCGGTAGGAGCTGGGCCCCCTCCTCTAGCGCTTGGATCTTGCTCCGTGGGAGAGGACACTGGGTCCTTGCTCTGGCCACAAGCGTGGCCCAGCAGGGCCTGGCCCGCCACCACCGGCCTCTTGTTGCGACTCTGCCGGCCTCACGGCCCACGTTCCCTTCTGCACGTAGACCCTTCGTGAGGCCACAGGCTCTGTTTGTGTCCCGTTCCTGCCTTGGAACTGACACTCGGGCTGCTTTCTTTGGGGAAGACGGGGGCAGAGGGCGAAGGGCTCCACTTAGTGAGAGGCTTTCGTGAACTCTGCTGACCGAGTCAGGGGCTTGGGTGGCTTTCGGGGAATGGCCCAGGGCAGGCACACTTGGCTTACGTGCCGTCTCGACAGAGAGGTACCAGCCGTGCAGGGACACGAATGGTTCTCCTTCTGTGGTGAGTTCTGGGGCACAAGGGGGGCTCACGATATGAGCTACACCAGGAATTGGTTTTCCGTCACAGGAAAGGTAGTCTTTGCGGTTCATGAGGGCGCCGGGCCTTGAGGTCACTGCGGGGCGGAGCCGTTGTCCTCCCGCCGCGGGCTCCTCCGAGCTGTGCTCTTCCCTTAGCGCCCGAGAGAGCATCTGGCGGCGTCCGGGTCCAGCAGCCCAGGCTGTGGCCGTGTGGAGCCCCACCGCCCCTCGCTGGCAGAGCAAGCATGCCGACGCCCTAGGTGGCGGGGGCCAGACGGGCAGCCGCCAGCTGTCAGGGAAGCTGGGCTGGTTTCCGGCCGGCGAGCCCGATCTCCGCTGCGCCCCCTTCGCCACAGCGTCCTAGCCAGTGGTCGGCTGACACTGTATTCTCTTCGTTCTGCAGGGACTTCTCATGGTCTCCCGGGGGTAACATCATAGCCTTTTGGGTGCCTGAGGACAAAGATATCCCGGCCAGGGTGACCCTGATGCAGCTTCCCACCAGACAAGAGATCAGGGTTAGGAATTTGTTCAACGTGGTGGACTGCAAGCTGCACTGGCAGAAAAATGGGGATTACTTGTGTGTGAAAGTGGATAGGACCCCCAAAGGGACCCAGGTGAGTGGATAGTCCTCCTTCCAGCTCCACGCCTGCCTCCTGCTTGACAGGTGTTAACGGGTTATTTGTTTGAATTTGTGGGTCATCGTCAGACCCACGGGTTACCGAAAGCGGTTAGCTGGCCTATCCTAGCTGAAGCTCTTGTCACCTTCCGGCCGAGGAGCAGGCTGACCCGTTCACAAGTTTGCTAGGACGGGTCCAGGCACCTGCCTGTCTTCTTACTGCAGGTGAAAACAAAAGTGTTTTTCTCTGAACTCCCCGTTTAAGCACAAAGAGGAGCCAGCACCCAGATTGTTTTTGTTTGTTTGCATCATTTCGTATCTTACGAAATTGCCTGATCTCTTCCTTCTCATGGAAGTATTCCTCCTCCCTGAACAAAAGATCCTATTGAGACGGACTCCCCATGCCATAGTCCACGCCCTCGCAGAGTGCACGGTCTGGTGGCTTTTCAGGACATTCACAGACCTGTGCAGCCCTTGCCACGATCTTAACTCGAGAGTGTTTTCATCACCCAAAAAGGGAAAGCCCGCACCCCAGCGCCCCACTCCCCTGGGCTCCCGACACCTGCTACTCCACCTTCTCTCTCTCTAGCTTCGTCTCTCCGGGACAGTTGGTGGGAATGAAGGGATACAGCGCGTGGCCTGTGGTGACTGGCTTCCCTCATTGAGCACGTTTTCAGGGCTCACCCGAGCTGTGGCAGGTGTCTGCACCTCGTTCCGGGTCAGGGCTGAGCTGTGCTAGCTCGCGTGCTCCCGCCTGTGGGTGGACCCACGTGTCATTTCCACCCTCGGGCTGTCCGGGACCATGCAGCCTCCTAGTTTCCGTTTAACACCTGTGTCTGGAAGATCCCTGCAGGGTGCTCCCCTCCCCGTTCCTGGGCCTCGAGAGCGCTACAGAGTTTGGCGGACGAGCTGCGGCGTGTGGCCCTGAGCCTCCGTGCAGGAGTGTGGCGGGAGGGCTGGAGGGGCTCTGCTGTCCTACAGAGACTGCACCCGGGGACGCCTCTGGTGGCGCAGGGTGCTGGCTTGACCCTGCCGGCCTAAGTCCATCACTTAGACACTCACACGTCTTTACCAACTGCGTGCACATCCTCTTCCGTCCTGTTACGTTCTTGAGGTACGATCTTCTCGTGCTCTCAGCTTCCACCATTTCACCTCCTTGTTTTCTCTCCCGAACAGGGTGTGGTCACAAATTTTGAAATTTTCCGAATGAGGGAAAAACAGGTACCTGTCGACGTGGTGGAAATGAAAGGCAAGTTCCTTGTGGTCCCTTGTGGTCCCTTGTGGTTGGCGGTCCCTGTGCGCAGCGTGCTCGGCCCGGTGCTCTGCGCTCCCCGCCTGCGCAGGTGGCCCCGGCCCTGACCACGTGTGCTGTCTGCCTCCCGGGCCCGAGCACGCGCGTCTCGATTCAGGCTGCCATGTGGCTCGCCCGCTCCCTCTTTGCACCCCGGCTCTGCCTGCCCGGCAGAGGAGCAGGGCTCCCGTGGTTTCCCACTGAGAGACACGGGGGAATGGGTTTCCTGACGCTTGCAGCGACCGGCAGCAGAAGGGCTTTTCACGTGACAGCCGAGTTCTCGGGTGACGAGAGCTTTATTCTGGGCCTAAAACCGTGCAGGCGCTCTGCCGCTGCCTCTCGGTGGGACATGGGGCCTGCGTCATCGGTTGGGTTTTGGGCCGTAGTGGGTGTTCTGGTTTGCAAGGGAGAGGAGGACAAAGTGGAGGCGGAGGACAGCAAGAGAGGGTCCAACCTGGCCGCCCTGCACTGTTAGCCCCTGGAGGGCCACGGGCGCCTGGACTGGGGACGGTGGTGGGCGCCAGCCAGCGGGTGCACTTGCGCGGCGTTCCCGCTGGGCCAGGATGGGCTCACCCAAGTCCCCACACCCTCGATCCTAGGCCCGCTGTGTGGTCTTTTCGTGAACTTAAGAATTTGGGGCATTTTCTCTGGTTGAGTAGTGAAGGCTGTGCAAGAAGGTTGTTTGATCGGGAACATTATTTCATTAAACGATCGAGGAGTGGCTTATTCTTTTGCTTGATTGCAGAAACCATCATAGCCTTTGCCTGGGAGCCAAACGGGAGTAAGTTTGCCGTGCTGCATGGGGAGGCTCCTCGGATATCCGTTTCCTTCTACCACGTGAAGAACAACGGGAAGATTGAGCTTATTAGTAAGTAGCCTCACCCCGTTGATGGGCACACGGGAGGGAGGGCCCTCTGGAGGGTTGCTCCACATGGATGTTCCGCTGGCTGGGAGCCGCTTCTCAGCCCGTCTGGCAGCAGGGAGGGCCCCCGTGGCTTCAGCTTTGCCTGTGGTGGCTGCGTAGGCTGTGGGCCCTTCAAGAGAGGGGTTCTGAGTGGATGCGCTCTCCCTCTTGCGGCCACAGCTATCGTCTCTGGGCTGGGGGCTCCCCATCCCCGCTGTGTTCTGCTGTGTCTGCAAGGGGCCCTCCTCGTTCCCTGGCCTCCCTTGGTGACCTGATCCCCCACCCACAGCGGGCTCCTCCAGGGCGTCCTGGGTTCTTAGCACAGAGCTCAACGTGCAGTAGGTCTTGTGCAGCGTGGGGTGAACAATTGCTTACTGCGTTGTATGGGGACTGCAGTGATGGACATAGACCATGTGTCCCTGTACCCAGAGGCTTGGGGGCTGAGCTTGTCCTGAGGGAATGCCAGGAGCTCAGCGGTGTTTGCGGGAGACCGGCTGGCTGGCCATCACGAAACCCAGCTGTGCTGTGAATTCCTTGTGACAGAGGAAATGGTTGGCACCATCTCTGGTTAGAAAGCAGGTTTGTAAATAGTGTAGAAGTGCCCTCCACTTCTGAAGGCTCTGGGTCGCCCACTTGGAATGATGACCGCATGGGTCCTGCTAACACGTTCTTCAGGGACATCTTAACTTGGTCTGAGAATCTTGCCCAGCAGGCCATGCCGCCTTTTCCCATCTCCCTATCTCCCCTGGCCCCCGTCTGTGGATCCAGTGCAGGCCCATGTCAGGCTGGGGTTCACTTTGTGCCCTTGACTGGAGACCGGAGGTTGCAGCCTGAGCAGTAACTGTCCGCTCTCTGGGGGCCCTTCAGGGATCTCGTCGGATGGAGGCAGTCCTTGTGTGGGGAGACACGGTGGCTTTTTTCCCACGGTGGGAGACACGTTTTTATGACCGCAGAGTTTGAAAAAGATGTTTGAGTCACTGGAAGAATGCGTTTTGGGCTTTTTTGGGTGCAGGTCTCTGCACTTGGTGGGGGTGTGGGTTCCTCGCCCTCGTGTGGAGACCCTGCGACCATGTTTACGGTGACTGCTCTGTCCAGTTTTCCCGGAAGTAAATTGTTTTGAACATGAAACATTACAAACGGTAACGTAACTTCAGGATGTGTTCTTTCTCTTTTCTTGAAGCGTAGCTCATGACTCAAAGTGTACTCAGCCCAGGGGTTTTCCAAAATTGTCCTCACGGGCAGCAGGCTGGTGTGGGGTATGTGTGAGAAAGTTCACCCGCAGGGCAGCGTGAGCCTGTCGCCTGTCCTGGCCGCACCCTGCCTTCGGTGCCTTGACAAAGACTTAAACAGACACTTTCTTTGTTTCCAGAAATGTTTGATAAGCAGCAGGCAAATACCATCTTCTGGAGCCCCCAGGGACAGTTCGTCGTGTTGGCTGGCTTGAGGAGGTGGGTTTCTGCTGCCTGATGCCATCTGCTCATGGTGAGCCGCACTCTGTGGGCCGCTGGGGCCCCGTGGGTCACAGCGGTTCCTCGACACCGTGATGGAGCGTGCTTGCATGAAAGGACCGGCCCTGCTTTTTTAGTGGATGGGAATTTATTGTGTTTCCATCTTGCCCAGACTTGGGCTGAAACCAGGTCGATGAAAGCAGTGCCCCGGGAGTGTTTTCAGTCTGGAAGATGTATGAGTGTTGGGATTTCCTCATGATCGAGCAAGACCGCTTCCTGGCAGGGCAGCGACCCTGGTGTGAAACCCGCGTCCTCTTGTGGGAAGGCTGTGAGCAGACGGCCGCGAGCCGGCCTCTGCAGTGTGACCACGAGTGTGGCAGTGTTCACCCTCCGTGCCCACTGCTCACCCACCGTCCCAGCCGCGCATGGGAGCCTGAGGAGCCCGCACCCGCCTGTGGGTTAGCAGAACGCACTTAGAGTCGCTCACTTTCCTGACTTCATCGGAGGTGCTTAACTATGTTTCCAGAGGGTTGGTCTCAGATAATCTGGGGCACACACTCCCCACGGCTCCATTCCCAGCACCCTCAGGAAGTAGAGGGCTCCAGATCACTTCCTCCTCAACGGCAAGGCTCCTGAGTGTGCTCTGGAGCCTCCAAGGAGCGGGATGCCAGGAGGGTGTGCGCACTGACCCTGCTCTGTCTCCCCAGTATGAACGGCGCCTTGGCTTTTGTTGACACGTCGGACTGTACGGTCATGAACATTGCAGAGCACTACATGGCCTCCGACGTGGAGTGGGACCCCACGGGGCGTTACGTTGTCACCTCTGTATCCTGGTGGAGCCATAAGGTACGGGGCCCCTGTGTAGCTGGGTGCAGTGTGGGACCCGGCTATGCCGGGCCTGGCGTCCCCTTCTCCCCTCCCGGGTCTCCGTGGGGTGGACACTGTTAGTCACTCTTACGCTGCCTTGCCCGGCCGCCCCACGAAGCTCTTCGGCAGTGCCCCTGAGCCAGCCAGCTTTTCCACAAGTCAGTTGGCATTCCTTGATTTCCCTTTCCTGAGTCAGACCACGTCTTAGGCTGGCCTCAGCCTGAGTCCAGGCGCAGGAGCCCGGGAGGTTTTGACTGTGTAGTGTCTCCCCACAGTTGAGAACTCACCCACATTGGTCTCTGTGGCTTGTGGCGGGGGGAGGACGCGCCGTGCTGTACACGCGCTTTCCCAGTAGGGTAGTTCACTCAAGAAGTTCGTGGTTTGGACCACCGTTATCTGGTGGCGGCCTCTGCTGGCCTCTGGGCGTGTGACCCAGCCGTGCACGGCCCGTGGGTGCCTCCCCTGCCCAGAACATGGTGCCTGCGTGTGGGGCGCCATTCACCCACTCTGCTCCGTGTTTTCCCAGTGCTCGAGGGGCACGAAGACCCCACGGGCTGTTAGCACTGTTTTTTCCTTCTCCTGCGACAGCTCAGCATCGTGTGGGCAGGGCCTTTTCTCTGGTGCTGCCTGGCGCATGGTCCTCGTTCAGTCGGGTTGGCTGGGTGAGTGAGTGGCATGCGGAGCCACCAGAGAGGGCTGCTCACCCGAGGGTCTGGGCCGCCCCGGGAAGACGTGAAAGTGTGTGTGTGCGCACATTTCTTCAGTCTCAAACGTCCGTAAGCTGAAAAACTGAAGCAGTGCCATGCTCCGTAAGTGTGAGAGACTGTGTCCAAAGCCGGTTCCACGTGGCATGTGCGTGCTGGCGTGTCTGCAGCGAGTTCCCTCGCGCGGTGCTCCCGGGCTCCTGGTGAGCTCAGCCGAGCCTTTCTTTCACGTGTAGTCAGGCTTTCTTGCGGATGGGGGTGCTGAGACTTGAACCGGCGCGTGCGCGTGTGCAGAGCTTAAGCCATCAAATCAGGGCGGTTCTGTGTGACGAAGCACGAGCGTGCAGGAGTTCAGACTCCCATCACCGAGCGCGGTGTCCTGAGAGTAGGCTGGATTGGGATGAGTGCGTGGACCGCACCCGAGCGTGTGCACGGGTTCGAGTGCCGTGTGGCACTGAAATCCTCCAGACCCTGGGCCAGTGTGAAAGTGCCACAGGCTCCCGAAGTGCAGGCGGCAGCGAGAGCGCCGGTACCGCCTCCGTTGGGAAAGGCGCCCCTGAGCACGGCAGCGCGTCTCCGGACACAGTCCACCGTGTCCTGGCGGGGCTCCCCATTGCAGGCCGGCAGAGCGCCCGTGCTATGGGGCCCATCCCGGCCGGTGCACAGCTGCACGCCGCGCTGGACGTCACCTCCTGTCGGCCTCAGGGACTGCATTCCCCCCGCCGCATGCAGCTGTGCCACCCCCGTGGTCTCCCAGGTGCCGACAGTGCTGCCACGTGCGGGCTCTCGGAGCACGGGGATGAGACATTTGGTCTGCTGGGCTCTGGGGTGGTACAGGTCCCAGGAGCCCGCGTCCTGCCGGGAGCCGCGGCAGTGAGCAGCGCTCGGGCCTCTGCCTCTCGCAGGTGGACAACGCCTACTGGCTGTGGACTTTCCAAGGACGCCTTCTGCAGAAGAACAACAAGGACCGCTTTTGCCAGTTGCTGTGGAGACCTCGGCCCCCCACGCTCCTGAGCCAGGATCAGATAAAGGTCTGGGGCTCCCGGGGCCTGGGCAGCATGGACGCCCTGGTGGCACTGACAGAAGAGACTTCCCGTTTCTGTCAGCGTTCGGGGGGGTCTCGCCTGAGGAACGGAAACGGGACGTTTGGGGCACCCTTTGATGAGATGCGAGAGCACCGGGGACCCCACGGGAAGGAATAGTTTTAGCGTCGTAAACTTGGGTTTGTGGGTCATGCCCCGGCTGTGTCTGTGCCCTTCTCGGACGCTTGCACGGCGTGGAGGGGATGTAAACTGGGTCGGCGGCGCTGGGAGAGGGTGTCCGTGGGCTGTGCGTGGTAGCAGGATGTGGCCCCCGTGAAACCTGCAGGCCGCCCCCGGTGCGTGCTTGTGCGCAGCCACGTGCTCGCGATCCTGAGTAGGCTGTTGCACGTTGACAACTTTGAAGATGCTTTGAACGTTTAAATCTTGAGCGGCTTGTCTTTGTTTTTGTTTTCAGCAAATTAAAAAGGATCTGAAGAAATATTCTAAGATCTTTGAACAGAAAGATCGTCTGAGCCAATCCAAAGCCTCAAAGGTTAGCCTGCTCCCGGGACCGAGGGGAGGGCCAGCGTCAGGCCCGGGGGGACGGCGGCATCTGCCGCAGACGCTTGCTATGCCCCCCGCTGTGTGCACAGACTGCTGGGCTCTGGCACACGTCTCCGGGTGGCCAGCCATCCAGATGCAGGGGGGTCGGTCCCAGTGAAAGGAAGGAGGAGAGCACGTCTCTCCATTTCTGTCCCGAGACCCTCTCTGAATAGAGGGGTCCTCGCGGCACCCACTGCGGTGGGTGTTCCTGCCGGCCACGGTCCTGTCAGCCCCGTGACTTGCCCTGACTCCACGCACAGGAACTGGTGGAGAGAAGACGCACCATGATGGAAGATTTCCGAAAATACCGGAAAATGGCCCAAGAACTCTACATGGAGCAGAAGAGTGAACGTCTGGAGTTGCGAGGAGGTAACTATTAGCTGAAGACGCGTGTTTCAGAGTCTGTATCTGCAGAGACGTTTCAGTACCCAATCGCGTGAGTTTTCTAGTCAAGTGTCCGGTGTCGTAAAGATTCTGAAATTGTCGAGGAACCGAGAGTTTCCCCCGGTCGTCTGCAGGGAATCTTGCTGTGTTCATGCCGGGCTCCCGGCTGGTGCGCGTGTGCGTGTGCTGTGTGTGCGTGCGCCGTGTCACCCTTCTCCCCCACTCACAGGCGTGGACACGGACGAGCTGGACAGCAACGTGGAGGATTGGGAGGAGGAGACCATCGAGTTCTTCGTCACTGAGGAGATCATCCCCTTGGGCAATCAGGAGTGACCGAGCGCCGTGGTAAGACCTCTTCAGATGGGGACGAGCAGGACCCTGACAGGTCGTGTTGTCCCTCGAGTGAGGAAGTTCTCAGGTTCACATCCTCGGGGTCAGTGGGACCCTCGTGCAGGAGCCGCGGAGGGCCCGATGCACACCCTGGCTGTCAGAGCTGGGGCTCTTCCTCTGGGAACGGCAGGGCCTTGAGCCCCAGACTTAGGGCAGGGCGCCTCGCGAGCCGGGTCTGGTTGTGGATAAGACACAGGGCTGGGGAGGAGGCAGGAGGCCGGCCACGGACCGTCTCCGGGTGTCTGGCTGGGAGACAGCCTCAGTGTGCCCGGCAGAGCCAGGAGCCGTCGGAACCCGGTTGGTCAGGCGGGGTAGGGCACTTCCTGGGGAGGCGCGCGAGGCCCGAGGCTCGTGCCCGGGGGCGGCTGGCGGGAGAGCTTGGCAGCTGGTCGGCGAGGCTCTCCGCGCTGGAGGCTGCTCCCCTGGGCCGTCTGCTCCTGCTCGTCTCGGGCATCACGTTGAAGCGGACCCGGGGGGTCCCCTTCTGAGATGGTGTGGTCGGTGGCCCCTTGTCTGGGCACGCCCTCAGGGCTCGCTGTGGCTGACGCGCCCTTTGTTGTCAAGGCGCAGAGCGGAGAGTGAGCGCCTGCTCCCTCGTTGCAGCGTCCCTGCGTCGCGTGCTGGACCCCGGTCATCCTGCTGCAGGAATCCTGCACGATGCCTGAAGTCTCCCCTGTGCTTTGTCTGGCTCCAGACTGTGCGCCCGGACTCCCCCATCTCCACACATTACTGTGCCTTTCACCCCTGGTCTCCACCGCAGGGGAGGATCCAAGGCACCGCTTTCAGTTTTTCCTTGTTCGGGGTTTTTAAAATCACGCCACCAGTGTTGGTTCCTCACACTCGGCGCCACTGGGGCGACCCCTCCCGCCCTCCTGAGGTGCACAGCCGAGCGGCCTCCTCTCGAGGATCGTCCTGCCCCGTGCGCGCGGCCCGGCCTGGCTGTGTCCCGGGCACCGCAGGGGAGCAGCGCCCCGTGGTGTCCTGGCGCCGTTCAGGTTGTGCCGGCTTCTCTCAACGGGCTGAGCATGGAAATAAAAGCAAACCTGTACGAAAACACTGTCTTTCTTCTGTCTTTACACGTACGTAGCTGCCTCGAGGCTGGTGCCTGTGCCCCTGCCCCCGGCTGTGGCGGCGCCCTGGGCTCAGCGTGCCCGCTGCTGCTGGCCCCCGAGGCCGACGCGGCAAGGAGGGAGGCCTCCAACCTCGTGTGTTTGTGCGTTTCCAGCTGAGCTCCATCGAGTGAAATAGCAGCCCCGTCAGTGCAGAGAAGGTGCTTTTCAGCTTTTTTGTGTTTTATGCTCATTTCACCTGCTGGGAGAAACCTCTCTACACTTTTGCTCGGAGCCATACACACTTGACGTTGTCCGTGAGAGCTGCCACTTGAGCCACTGTTGTGTGGTCCTCCGAATACCTTTGCTCCTGAAAAGGGGGCGAACGAGTCCATGTGACCTCAGCCTGTTATTTCAATGCCTGCGCGTCGGCGCATCGGTGCCTTGTCCGCTGCCACACTTCTGTCTGTCCAGGAGCCCGACGCCTGGTGTGGGAAGCAGCGAAGCACGGGACGGGCACGCTGCAGATGCACAGGCCTGAAATGTTCTGGGAATGGAGGATAAGCTGTCATCCGCAGGGCCTGGGCGCTCCACGACCCGCGGGCGCTGTGCTGGAGGGGTGGTCGGGCAGCCTGCTGCGGCCCCGAGCCCGGCTGCGAGGCACACTTGGCATTCCCATCCCTGGTTCCAGTCGCCATGCCTAGCTCCCCGTTGACACATGGGGGGTCCGCTGTCTCTTGCTCACGCTCACATCCTTTAAACATTAGTGTGCCAAGTCCTGGGTTTTATGTTTGATGGTGGTAAGAAGGAAGAGGTCCAGGTTTTGGTCATTTTCACAGATTTTTAACAGCTTTCAAAAAATTTACTTTGGACTGTTTTAAACTTGCTAGTTGTAATTGTTTTATGTAATTTGTTAATAAAAGAATTTCTTGAAAGACGTGTGCTTGTTCTGTTCTGTTCTGCTCGAGAAATGGGTTTCCCGGCCCAGGCAGAATGGCCTGACCGATCCGGCCGGGGTTGGGGTGGCCCCCGCACTCTGGCTTCTGGCTGGGGTCTCAGGGTGGACGCAGCCGCCCCCACCCCCCCGCCCCGTGTGGACCTGCCATCCTGGTCCTGTCTCCAGAGAAGACTTTTGCCCTCGTGTGGGCTCTCTGGCAGCTTCCTGTGGGTCACAGGCTGGAGGCTTCGTGGAAGGGGTCCGTGGGCGTCACGGTGGGCGGCGCTCTCCTCTGTTGCCCTTTGCCTCGTGGTGTTTTTGCACTCAGCACTGACCTGACACCTGGAAGAGAACAGGCAGGCGGGGACAGCTGTGCTGACCCGGAGAGAGTCCCTTGAGCTCGGCCCGCCACCGCACGCAGCTGCAATCTCCAGGTCGGGTTTCTCAGATGTGAACTTACTGGATCTGGCTTCTGTGGGACTTTTATCAAATGTAGGATCAGCTTGTGCACGCCAGTTGTGGTTCTCATCATGAGGGCGCCCTGCTTCACGACCTGGCAGCGGCTTCCCTGGAGGCTGCTGGGGAAAGCAGGGTGCAGCATGGCCTGCCGGTGCAGACGCCTGATGGTGAATGCCAGTTGGGCCTGGGGTGTGGCACAGATTGGCAGCCGGCCTGGGAAAGGCAGCTAAAAACCACGTCCTGAGCAGAAACGGGAAGGTCACTTCAAGTTCTAGAAATGTATCTATCGGGAAAAGCATTTATAGTCGAGATGAATTTCATTAGATGTTAGTTGGTGGGATTGGCCCCCCTTTGGTGGAAAGGCTCCAAGGCCAAGCCTTGTGGCCCTCAGGCTCACCTGTAGACCAGGTGAGGCAGTCTAGGAGCCCTGGGGTTGCCCTGACAATGGGTGAGAGCGTAGACACAAAGGCTGGGCCATGGTCTGGAGCCTGACCCCGCGTGCCAAGCATGCAGCTGGCTTATGTCCACTGGGGCCTGGGCCACCCAGCTGCTTGGGGCCTCCCGAACCACGTGTGTAGTCCCACATGTGCGGTCCCACATGTGCAGACAGTTAAGGACTGGCTGGGCTCCTGGGGCCTGCTGATGTCACCAAGGCAGGGCAGGTGGGGGAGGCAGCACAAGCCGGTCGCCTTGCCTGCCAGGAGAGCAGGGAGCACATCATGCCCACCGGTCCCACTGCCGGCCCCGCTGCTGGCCCTTCCCCGGCCCGGGGCAGCCCAGCCATGAAAGAGGTGGAGCCCAAGGACCAGCAGCTCATGGTGAGCATCTTCCCTCATGTTCCCGGATGGCCCTACGGCTGCGTGTCCCTGAGGCTGCCTCGTCCTGACCCACTGCCCCTGGTGCCTGTTGCTTGGCACAGGTCAGGTCTCGGGGTACTGGTCCCCGTCTAGGGCCCCACTTCTGCTCCCCTGTTCCTGCCTCTCCCCTGCCCCCCCCAGCTCTGTGATCTCCCCAACAAGCTCCAGGCCCTGCGAGGGCTGGCCAGACCCATCTGCTGGGGGGCTTGAAACTTCAGCCCACTTGGTGGTGGGTGGATGAGCTGAGGCCCGGGCCTTGCCCCACACCTGCTGGCTGGTTACCCAGGTTACCAGAGACCCCTGTCGTGAAGCGGGGGCCCTGGTACACTGGGAGAATGGGGAGCAGCCTTGGTGGGGCCCCTGGAAGGCAGCTGCCCCGTGTGCTGCCCATAGGTAGCGCTTCGGATCCGCCCGCTCAGTGACACAGAACTGGAAGAAGGGGCCACCATCACTGCCCACAAAGTGGGGGACCAGGTGAGGCCGTGGGGCTACGGGTGTGCGATCACGGGGTTGGGACGCTCACCTTCTGCATGCGCTTCACTGACCTGCTCCCTACCTGGCTGAGTGCTCGCAGACCCCCGGTGGAGCTGAGAGAGACATGGGGCTGTCCCCACTGCGCTCCCTTTCTAGCCGGCCAGCCACTGGGGAGTTCAGTGTCACAGAGGATCAAGCCGGGCAGAGGCCGTCACTCTCCAAGACCTGGAGCAGCGCCCAGAGGAGGCGGGAGGGAAGATCCAGGCGGGGGGCGGCTGGTGTGGCCGCTCAGAGGACACGGGCAGGAGGGGCAGGTCTCGCTAGGGCCTAGGTCCCCCGACTGAAAAGGGCCCCGGTGCCGAGGGTCACAGCGGGGTCTGCGGTGACCCCTGCTCCTTGGAAAGCCTGAGATGCTGGCTGAGCGGGGTTGCGGGAGTCACATGGCGGAATGAATGCCAGATGTGGGGTAAGACAGATTTTGTCAGAGGAATTGGATTTTTCCACTTGTTATTAGAAAAGGCAGCTCTAAGGAGGGATCGAACGTTGTGTCTAGAAGCTTTGCGCTTCCGAGGCGAAGGTCCAGGAGGCTGGGGAGCCCTGAGCGCTGCTCGCCACCGGGTGGGGGTGCCCAGCGCTGACCGGGCAGGTGGGGAGCTCCTGAGGGCGCCGTGGGAAGAGGGACCAGAGCGTCTCGGCTGTGCAGGCCCCTCAGGGTGCGCTGGGCAGAGGCTGCAGCGAAATTATGCTGAGTTCGTAGACCAGTAAGCAACACACGGTGACGGCCGTTACGCTGGGGGGGACCAGGGTCGCACAGGACAGAGTCTGGCTCAAGGTGTGCAGAGTGTATGTGTTCGTACTGTGGGAGCATCGATCCCGCGGAGGTCGTGCTGTAAGGGGCTCAGGGATGCGACAGGGGACCCAGCGGGGCCGGTGTCACGTGGGCCCGGTGACCACCCGCAGCAGAGACTGCCGTGCACGGTCAGAGGAGGGGAACGCCCTTTCACATAACTCTGAAGGCAGCATAACAATTTGCTGGAATCGACCGTGGTTCTCAGGATAGTGTCAGTAGTCCCCAGACCTTGGCGCTGGCCCATCTGGGGACCGATGGGTGTCCTCCCAGGGGAGCGCCTCCGCTGTCCCCGGTGCCTCCCATCCTCCCTGATACCGGAGGTCAGAAGGACCCCTTTTTGTCCTGCCGGCCACAGAGCTGGGAGGTGACCGACCCACACGTGAGAAGTGTCCCCTGCTGGCCCTGGTCCTGGGCAGCTAACCCGTGGGCATGAGGGCTCACGGTGAGAATTTCTCCCGCTTCCCTGGCTTTGGGGATCCGGTGACTTTAGGGAAACAGGACACTTCTGGATGGTGGGGGAAGGAAGCGGCTTTTGTGAGTAGGAGCTTCACGTTTCCCGGGGCTGTGGTCCTTCCGAAGCCTCGGACGTCGTGACCTGGTTGGTCTGCCCAGCAGAGGTGGGGCTGTGTGTGCGAGGGCGACTGCCCGTCCCCAGGCCTCCCCGAGCCCCCGCCGCCCTCCCATCCCCCACATTCCGTTGCACGGTCCTTTCAGAGCCCACCTGGGGCCTGGCTCCAAGGCCGTCTCGCTCCGCACTGCGGAAAACACAGCTGGGTTTGTTTTTTTTTTTTTTTAAGATTTTATTTATTTATTCATGAGAGACAGAGGGAGAGAGAGAGAGAGAGAGAAGCAGAGGGAGAAGCAGGCTCCCAAGGAGCAGGGAGCCCGATGTGGGACTCGATCCCAGGACCCTGGGATCATGACCTGAGCCGAAGGCAGACGCCCAACCATCTGAGCCACCCAGGCGCCCAACACAGCTGGGGTTTTAAAAACTGGAGTGAGACTCCTAACATTCGGTTCACTGTTTTAACCTGAGCAACTCAGGGGCCACTAGGACATGCGGCGTTGTGCAGACCCCATGTCTGTCGGGTTCGAAACGTTTCCATCTCCCCAGAAGGAGCCCCTGCCCACTCCGAGCTGCCCCCATCTCCCCGCCTCCCCGGGCCCTGGCCCCGGCCCCCGCTGGTCGGCTTGCTGACCGGGGTCCTGCGGGGCGTGGCCTGCTCTCACCCAACCCGGTGGTTCGGAGGCTCGTTTGTTTCCATTTAACACTGTGTTTCGATGTGACTTCACACTAGCCAGGGGCGGTGGGACCCAGGTATGAGCTCCCTCCCGTGTCGTCGGCAGCCACGTTTCCCATGCAGGGGTGCCTGGCCACACCTGCTCCATCCTCCTCTCCCTGTGTGTGCGCTCCTTTTCCCTGGGCCACTCGGGACATCGTGCCCTTCCACACCCAGAGATGTCTGTGTTCCTTAAAAACGGGGACATTCTGTGACTCCAGGACAGCCCCCAAAGCCAAGAAGTTAGTATCGATATCACCCGATCTGCACGTGTGTTCACGGTTGGCTGATTTCTCTCAATCGTGTTACTTATAGTAAAGAAAAAAAATATTCTTTTGGGGGACAAGAGCCATTGCCACGGATACTTCTTGGACACTGAGCACATGATCGCTTGTACCCCTTACGGCCGTGGGTTCTGCTACCGTCTCCATCTTACAGATGGGAGAACAGAGCCCAGGTTGGTGGGGAAACTTGCCCAAGGCCTCCCCGCTGGTGGGAGCCTGTTCTGAACCCACCCGGTCCCCCGACATTCTGGGCCTGGCTCACAGCACACTCACGCGGTGGGAACTGCATGGATGGGGGCTACCCCCCCGGGTCCCTTTCCTGAGAGCCTCTCCACAGCTGGATGGAGAAGAGCATAAAGTTTGAAAATGGTTAGCTTATGTCATGGAAAACGTGCTGGCCTGAAGCTGGGGCAGGCCCTCGGGGCTCTGGGCCCCGCCTGACTCCCCAGGAACCTCTGGGCAGCCCTTGTCTCCTGAGGCCTCTGTTTCCAAAGCTGTGGATCAAGGGAGGGGTTGGCCAGGTGGCCAGGGGTGGGGGGACACAGGGTGGCCAGGCTCTTGGTCTGCCCAGCTGTGCCCCCAGGATTCCCCCGGGGGCCCACGCCCCCCACTAGCCCAGGAGCTCCTCCCGGAGTAAACAGAGCTGATTGGTCTCTAATTGCCCTGCCCCCCCCACCCCCAGAGGCCCTCCTACAACTTGCTTCATAATTACGTATTTGTGTGAGATGGGAGAGGCCCCGGGGAGGGGGCCACCATGCACTGGCTTGGAGAAGCAGAGAGGGGGCTGCAGAGCTTGGGGGGGGTAGACAGGTGGGGGGCATGGACGCATGCTTGGGCAGCTCGGGGGACGGGGGGACACGGAGCACAGCAGCTCCTGCCATCCCTTCTTCCTGCCGTTCATCAAAGGGCCCCGTCCCTATTGGGTGGGTGCTGGGGGGCAGAGCTCAGCAGACCCCAGGGGTGCAGGAGCGTGGACAGGAAGCGGAGAGGGTGCCCAGGGCTGGAAGACCCCCGCCCGGCTGAGCACAGAGGCCTGCTGCCCTCCTGGGACACAGACCAAGCCCCCCCCCCCTGCCCCCGGTGTCCTCGAGCAAGGGCCAGGCCTGGGGTCCTTCAGGGTGCACGGAGCCTGCCCTGATTCTGGGAGCGGCCCCTCCTCTGACACCTCCCTCCCGCTGCGCTAGATGGTGGTGCTCATGCACCCTGGCGAAGACCCTGAGGACACGCTGCGTGCACACCGGCCGCGGGACAAGACCTTCATCTTCGACGCTGTTTTCGACCAGCATGCATCACAGGTACCCCGCGCCCCACGCCCCCTGCATCCTCCCGCGGGGCTTCACCAGACCCTGGAGCCCCCCTGGGAGGGCTTGGTAGCCAGGTGGTCCCGTCCACGACTTGTCACAGGAGTGTCCCTGCTGAACAAGGGGGTTGGCACGTGGGCCGTCCAGGGGCAGGTAGTGGGAGGGCCCGGGGTTCACACGCCTTCTCGTTTGTCCACCCAGACAACAAGGCGGGGTCCCCTCTGCCATGTGGCTGGAGCACACTCCCTGCCCACAGGGGCCCCCATCCAGCGAGGGAGGCGGGTGCCGAGTGAGCTGGGACGTGGAGGAGGGGCGCGCCAGCGGGGCAACAGCAGGGGATGAGGGGCCCCAGCGCAGGCTTCAGCCGGCCCCTTCCTCAGACCGAGAGCGGGCGTTTGGGCCCAGTGTCAGGTCGCACGCACCAGACCCCTGCCTGTGAGAGCCCGGGGGGCCCGGCAGGGCAGGATTTGGACCCGGGCTTCTGGAGGCGGGCTGCCGCACGGCCAGGGTATGGTGCCTGGGGGATGTTTGGCCCCGAGACCCCATCCTGCCCCTGCAGCTGCCCGCTGGGCCCCAGCACGGCTTGTCTCGGACACACCGGCCCTCCCTCCGGACGCAGCCGTAGCTAGAGGACGGATTTGCTCCATGTGGCTGGCCCGGCTTTCTGAGCGGACTCGCGGCTTTTACCCCTGAGATCTTCCTGGGGCTGCAAGCAGGAGGGGGCTGGCCATCAGCATCTGTTGAGCAGCGGCTGCCTGCCAGGGGCCGTCCTGGCGTGCACGGCCTTGCCAGCCCCTCAGCAGCCCTCTGCAACATCCTGTGATGTGGTCCACGTTTTACAGATGGGGAAACCGAGGCTTCTAGCCTGAGGGTGGCAGGTCAGGTCTCAGCTGCTGACGGTGTAAGTCCACAGTTGAGGAAAACAGTTACCCGTGCTCAGGTGCCGCCTCCAGCCGCCGTGAGCCGCGTCGCCGGCCAGGGCTACTGGGACATTTCAGGGACGCCAGGAGCAGGGTCCAGATGGGCGCCCAGGAAGGGCAGTGGAGATGGGACTGTCGTTTCTGTCTGGGCCAGCCACATCCACACACCTGGAGCTGTCCTTTCTTGAATACCCCTGTAGGCAGGGAGCTCACTACCACACCTGTTGCTAGGCATTGCTGCCTTAGTGGGATTCTGCCGGCCTGAGGCGCTCGGGCCTCGGTCCTGGTTTTGTCCCATGAGGAGGAGTCCTGATGCTCTTCCCAGACGTGCAAGTACTGTGCTGCCATCCAGTCCCAGGCACCGTGTCGGACTTCTCTCGGCTCCTGAGAAGCCCCATCCGCGTCCAGCACCAGACCCACGTCAGGCCTCATGGCGCGAGCTGTCCTGCGCTCTCGTGTGATCTCCCGGACGGCTGTGCTCCGGGGGCCCGGCCCCCTCTCAGCCCCTGGGGCGGCACAGCAGCAGGAAGGAGACGGCAGCCCATGCCGTGTCTAGGCTGGCCCCCGCCTGAGGGTCCCGGCACACGCGTGTCCGACTCTGGCCAGGCCGCGCATCCCACTGTCTGCCCTTCCATCCGCCCACAGGAAGACGTGTATCGTGCCACCACCCAGCACCTGGTGGAAGGTGTCGTTTCTGGATACAACGCGACGGTGTTCGCCTACGGCCCCTCAGGTACCGCCGAGGGCAGGGGCCCAGGAGGGCGCGGGGCTGGTGGCAGTGGCGCTGTCCCTCCCAGACAAAGCACCTATGGTGCACCGGCGTGTGCTGGTCTCTCTGCGCCCATTGGCTCCTTCCAGCCTCGTCGCGGCCCCCACGGGCAGGTGGAGCCGCCCCCTTGCCACCCGCAGGAAAGCTGAGCCTCAGGGGGCTCACACGGCTGGTAGGAGTGCATGTGGGGTCCAGCCGCACCTGCACCTTGCTGCCCGCGAGGACCCACAGACTTCTCCGCAAGGACGAGCAGCTGGGCTCGACAACGGTCCACAAAGCTGAGCCACCTCTCACGTCCTGAAAACTAGGATCGCAGAGGGAGAGGGCAGTTGGGGAAACAGAGGCAGGGAAGCGCCTGGTCCAGAGTCACAGCCTGTGGATGTCATCCATTCGCTCAGTAGCCGTTAGCGAGCGCCCGCTGTGTGCCAGGCTCTGGCGGAGGAGGGGCCATCCGGTCTTTGGGGAGCAGGGGCGGGGCGAGCAGCATCCCTGTGACAGGCATGAGTCCGGCGACTGTAGGGACGGCTCCCACGTCTTCCCGAGAGCTAGGGGAGGAGCATGCACCCCGTGGTTGCCCCTCATTCCGCCCATTCGGCCCGCGTCTGCGCTTCGGTCCCGGGTCTCCCGTGTCCACAGTTTCTTCCACATCGGACTCTTGAGGGCTTCCCCCCTGGTTTCCGAAACGGAAAACGAGCGCGTCTGAGTGTTCGGGACCATTTGCCCAAGGTGGCGGAGGTCTGAACCATCTCTGGTGGTGAATGTCCAGGCGGGGTCAGAGCCCCCCTCAGGAGTCCCCGCCCTGGCGGCTGTCTGCCCGCCCACAGGTGCAGGGAAGACCTATACCATGCTGGGCATGGACGCTGAGCCCGGCATCTACCTGCAGACCCTCACCGACCTCTTCCGGGCCATCGAGGAGAGCCGCGACAACGCGGACTGCAGTGTGTCCATGTCTTACCTGGAGGTGAGCCTGCCCCCCGGCCTCGGGGAGACCTCAGCCCTCGGGGCGTCGGAGCCTTCTCAGGAGACCTACGTTCTGTGCTGCTTTTGCCCCAAAGCTGCTGCGTGTCCCGCTTGTGTCTCTCCTCCCAGATTTATAACGAAGTGATCCGGGATCTCCTGAACCCATCCTCGGGGTTCCTGGACCTGAGGGAGGATTCTCGGGGCAGCATCCAGATCGCAGGCATCATGGAGGTCTCGACCTCAAACGCCCAGGAGGTGAGAGGCACAGGGGCCCACGGAGGGAAGGGGGCCTGGGCCTTGGCGGCCACGCTCACCAGAGCTCACAGAGCGGAGCCGGACACACGGCGCCGCGCTGTTTCCCGGCTAATGGGGTGCCAGACAGTGCGCTCGGGGCAGACATCACTGATAGACCACCATTCTTCCCCCTGCACCTGAGCCCCTTCCCACGTGGTGCCCCAGCCAGTCCCAGCCCGTCTGAAATCCCCCACATGCTCTGCGGTCCCAGCACCGCCCGGCAGATGGCAGGTGCCCCGTCGAGGCTCGTCGGCGTGGCTCCCGCCCGGCGGCTTACCCACAAATAGGTTGCAGCCCACCTTCCAACCCCGGCGAGCCCATACGGGGTTCCGTGGTGGAAGGTTCTGGGACCGGCTCTGTGGGGAAGACGTGGGTGATCCAGTGGCCAGGTGTGCCCTGGGTAGAGGAGGGGGAGGGTGGCACAAGTGTGTGCCATCCGCCCTTCCGGCTGGATTGGTTGGCTCGGTCACTTAGTCACTCCGTGCCGCAAACCGGAAATGGCTTGCGCTGGATGAGGTTCTGTTGCGAAGAGCTGCGCAAGAGGGCTCGGGGTCCAGCGCTCCTCCCTGGCCCCGCGTGGATCTGGAGGGCGCCTGTGACCACCCACCCAACTCCGCCTGTGTCTTCAGATCATGCAGCTCCTCACCAAAGGCAATCGGCAGCGCACGCAGGAGCCCACGGCCGCCAAGAGGACGTCCTCCCGTTCCCACGCCGTGCTGCAGGTTACCGTACAGCGGCGGAGCCGCGGCACAGACATGCTGGAGGGAGTGCATGTCGGGAGGCTCTTCCTGGTGGACCTGGCGGGCTCGGAGCGGGCATCGCAGGTTCTCTGGCATCCCCCCCGCCCCCTCACACGCCCCCACAGTTACTCACCCCCTCACAGTCCGCCGCGAGCGGGGCCCTGCCCCTCCTCGTCCAACAGCCTCTGCAGCTCCCAGGGCAGCGCCGAGCCGCCTACGGAGTGAGTGGAGTCTCGAGTGTCGAGAGGTGAAGCCCACAGAGCCGGTATTTACAGATTCACAACTGCCACGTGGCAGGCTCTCCTGACGATGATCGGCGCCCAGACCCACCCCCAGGGAGCGCCGACCCTCTGCGTGAGCTGATAATTACGGCACGGGGAGGCCTGTGCTTGGAGATTCCGGGTCCGCACAGAGGCTGGGGGGGCCCGGAGGGGGGCACGGTGATGGTGTGCGGTCTCAGGGCCGAGCCTGAGAGGGTCATTAGGAGTTTGGTGGGGTGCAAGGAAGGGCATGTCAGATGGAGGGAACAGCATGTGCAAAGCATGGCTGTTGGGAGGACGGCGCCCAGTGTACTCCAGCCCGACATGGCTGTAGGCCCCGACAGTCCTTCCGAGGGTCCCACCTGCCTGCCCTCGAGCTCTTGGCTCGCCTGTGCTTGGAGGCACCTGTCGCTGGGAGCGGGGGCTGTGCTTTACCTTGTGCTGCCTCAGTGGCCTGAGCGTTCCGTGAGGGCAGGACCTAGCCCAGGGCCGGGCACAGAGCGGTGCTGGACAGAGGCGGTGTCTGCACAGTAACGTTATCACCAAACCTTAGCAGGTGTAATCCCCGTAATCTCCCAGCACAGGATGAGGTGGGCGGCAGATGCAGGGCCGGGCGGGACCCAGGTGGTGCCGCGACTTGGCCGTGCACGAGGTGTTTGGTGCTGCATCCAGGCTTTGGACCTGGGCATCTTGCCCAAATCCCTGCGGTCCACTCCTGTGATAGTTGTCCCCCGGTTTGTGCCAGATGCTCTGCGTCTTTAGGGTTTGACCACTGAGTTGTCTCATCCGTTCACTGCCCTGCCTTGGCGCTCCGGGACCTGAAGTGAGCGGGGCCAGGGCAGCGGCTGGGGGCAGACTGGTCTGAAATACCGTGTGTTCATAGACAAATTTGAGGCACAGTAGGGCCAGGAGACCCGGAGATGACTGCCATTGGAAAGATAGTCCTACTCACAGTTTTCCAAGAGGAGGGGCCTCGGGATTTCACGCAGGGAAGCACCAGGGCTGGTCAGGAGGCAGAGGGAGGCCGCGCTGTGGGCGAGAACCCTCTGCCGGTTTCCCCGGGAAGGAGGGGCAAGGTGGGGTGAGCAGGCTCAGGTCCAGCTAGTTTGAGTAATTCCAGGGGCCTGGGGCATAATGGCTATTTGTCTGGTCCCTGGCCCTGGGAGATTAGGGCAGGGGGACAGTGGCCCGGAGTCAGGTGGCGGGGGTGTGGGCTCTGGGCTGGAGGTCTGCATTTGAAAGGCTTGTTCTGTATCTCTGGGAATTGCCTAATGCTGGGAGGGGCAGTCCCTCCAGGGTCAGCAAGGTCTCCAGATGTCAAACATCAGAGCACGGAGAATAAAGGACATGGCTGACCCACGGACAGATGTGGGTGCAGACAAGTTCACGCAGGGAGAGCCCCGTGTGACAGAGGTCTGGGACTCTGGCCTGTTCTAGCTGAGCCCAGCTGCGTCCACGGGACAAGATGGAGACGGTTGCAGGGAAGGGGTCCAGGGTCTGGGTCCTTGCTCTTGCTCTGTTCTGACTTGCTGTGTGCCTTTGGGTAAGCCACTGCCCCTCTCTGGGCCTTGGTTTTGGTTTAGTTGTCTATTCAAGTGGCCTACGTGAGCGACTTTTACAATCTGCTTGGCTCTCACGAGCTGTCATTTCTTCATAGAAAGTCACTCTTAAAAGACTTTGTTCTAGGGCACGAGGTCTCTGAGAAGGCCCTGAACTCTGTGACACAGACACCAGCATCTACGGTCCTGCCCTGCACTGGCTCCTATGTAATGACCATAGTAGCTGGCATTTACCGCTTGCCTCTGTGGGCCCAGGCCTGAGCAGGCCTGTTGCACATGTTGAGCACTAAATCCTCACCATAACCCTGTGAAGTCAGGAGATTGCCCCTTTTGGCAAATGAGGAAGGTGGGACAGACTGGGAGATCTGTCAGAGATTCGCAAACCATGCTCCAGGTTGGCTCTAAAACCCATGCCCTTAAAGAGAAAAAGATTTTTTTTTCTTTTTTTGTGATTTCCAATGTATTAGAAACACAGCACAGAAAATGTGGAAAATACAGACAAGGGGAAGAAAGTTAGAGTCCCTGCCGTGCTTGCACTCAGAGGTGTTCATCCCGAGGGCATTTTGGCTCCTTCGTGTGGCCCCCGCTGAGGCCTGGGCTCCGGGGACGCTTGGCCGCCATGGAGCCTGGGATCCAGTGGGGAGCGGGTGGGAAGACGTGGGACACGGCAGAGAGCAAGGCAGCTGCCGGGGAAGTCAAGTGGTGGAGGAAATAGGCTAGGGGACCGGCTGCTGCGGTCCCCGCTTCAGAGAGCGAGGCCGGGGTGCCCCTGCAGGAGGGGACGCTGAGCCACGGCCGAAGGACGGCAAAGTTCTGGCATGGGGGGCTGCCGAGGCGAAACCCACACGCCTGTCGGTGTCTCGTGCACCAACAGCCCCCTACCCCAGTTCTCATGTCACTTCACGAGCATGTGGTCACCGCCAGCACGCAGCTCGGGCGCATCCCCTCCACGCAGAGTCCTGTGTCCTCGGGGCCCCAGCTCGTGTGGTGCGTGCGGTCTGAGCCACTCAGGCCCGGGTGGGATGGGTCAGTGCACCGCCCGACCTCTCCTCTCCCGCCCAGACCCAGAACCGCGGCAAGAGGAGGAAGGAGGGCGCCCACATCAACCGCTCCCTGCTGGCTCTGGGCAACTGCATCAATGCGCTCAGCGAGAAAAGCGGCAGCCGGGCGCAGTACGTGAACTTCCGGGACAGCAAGCTCACGCGCCTGCTGAAGGTACAACCTCCCGCCTGTGTGGGGCCTCCCTACCAGGAGGGATGCCCAGACCTGGGTCTCAGGGCCCCTCCAGGAACCCCTGGAGGCACGAGAACCCTGTAGAAACCATGGCTGGTCACTGCCTGACTCTCGCTCCATCCCCCTGAGTAGGAGCCAGCCTGGGCTTGCATACTCCCAGCCACAGGGAGCTCACTACCTTACTGAGGCCACCTGTCCCATCCTGGATGGTCAGACAGTGAGACATTCCCCTCTGTTCTGAGCTGGACACTGTCCCCTCTATTCCGTAGCAAAGGTGTAGGTGAACAGACAGGCAAAGCAATACGTAAACGTTCCCATGGATTTGGCTTCACAGTCTACTCTGTTCTCATCGGAGCAGAAGTCTGATGGGGTGGTCCAGGAACAGATCTCACTTCATCCTAGCGTCTCCTCCCCAAGCACCAAACCCTTGGTCCTGGCATCACCTGCCTTTCTCAGGGTTTGGAGCAGGAACTGCAGAGGGCTGGTCCAGAGGAGCCTGGGACGGGAGGTGGGGGCCCCGTTCCCCTTACCCCCACCTTGGACCTTCTGCTGAGCAGGACGCTCTGGGAGGGAACAGCCTCACGGTGATGATCGCGCACATCAGCCCAGCCAGCACATCCTTCGAGGAGTCTCGGACCACCCTGCTGTACGCCTACAGGGCAAAGAACATCAAGACGCGGGTGAGGCCCCCACTTGCTGAGTTCTCACTAGGCCCTCCCTCTGGAGCCTCTAGGGGAGGGTCCCTTCCACCCTGGGGCTCCTGGCCATGCTGGGCGTGTGGTGCCTGACCTCTCTGTTTCTCCTTTCTCTTCTCTGATGAGGACACTGGCCTTGGGTTTCAGGCCCCCCGAATCCAGGAGGGTCTCATCTCAAGATCCCTAATTACATCTGGGTTTGGGGTGTTTATTACATGGACTTTTTTTTTTTTTTAAGATTTTATTTATTTATTCATGAGAGACAGACAGAGAGAGAGAGAGGCAGAGGGAGAAGCAGGCTCCCAAGGAGCAGGGAGCCCGATGCGGGACCCGATCCCAGGACCCTGGGATCATGACCTGAGCCGAAGGCAGACGCTTAACCATCTGAGCCACCCAGGAGCCCTATTACATGGACTTAACCGTCCTCCAGGAGCACTGTGAGCGCTAGATGTCTTGATTTAATTCTTTACCTCCTTCTCCCCGGGAGGTGGGGCCTATTATCAACCCATTCTGCAGCCTGGGCAGCGAAGCACGGAGAGAGAGAAAGCCACTTCTCCAGCCTTCCACAGCCCGAGCAGAGCTGGGCATTGTGGCGCAGAGCGCCTGGATCCGGAGGCCGCACTGCTGTGCTCGGGGCAGAGGACTCGCGTCGGAAGGCTGGACGCGGGCTCAGGGACGCACGCCTAGTGGTCAGCGAGTGGAGGTGTGATCCTCACCAACAAACCTGGGATGAGCCCTTCCCACCGCACGGCTCTGAGCTAGGCGCTAGGACAGCCTCTCTCTTAGTCGAACTTCGAGCTTCGCTGTGGGGCGAGGCAGATGACAAACACGACCTCCCACAGATGAGTATGTCCCTTCCAACTGTGGTCAGTGCTGTAAACGGGAGCCACGGGGTGCTGCAAGGAAGAGTGGCCGAGAATATGGAGTTGAGAGGCTCGGTCAAGGACGCCGGGCCCCGAGTGAGGGAGGGCAGGGTGTGCAGACGCGGGGCGGTCAAGTGCCTCTGTTCAGCCTGAGACCAGCACTTGCACCCTCCAAACCCACCAGAGAGAAACTCGGACCCATGTGCTCTACTTGAAAGCCCCAAAGTGCCCATGGAAGGGGACGGGGCATGCAAACTGGTGCATCCGTCCCGTGGACCACTGTGCAGCTTCAGAGAGAATAGGGTAGACCCATCTGTGCAGACGGACGGCCTCCCGGCCCCAGCGCTGGATGAGGAAAGCAAGTTAGAGAAGACTAGCCCCAGGGGGCACCTGGCGTCCCAGTAGGTGGATCATGTGACTCTCAATCTCAGGGTCAAGCCCCACGTTGGGCTGGAGGCTCCTTTAAAAAACAAAAACAAAAAACACAACAACATGAAAAAGAAAATAATAGCCCTGGTCTGATATCATTTACATAAAAAACCAAAGCCAAGCCTATACCAAGAAACTCCCCGTGTGTGTCTCTGCACGTACATATGCACAAAACTGCACAGAGGATGGTCCAGAGGGTACAGATGAAAGTGATCGCGGTGCTCACCCAAGGGGAGGAGTTTTAAAAAACTCTTGACGGATCATTTGAAATTTCTTGACTGTGGCAAAATATGCATGACATAAAACTTGCCACTTTAACCATTTCTAAGCGTCCAGTTCAGGGGCACCGTTCCCCCCCACCCCGATCCAGCTCCAGAATGTTCCATCCTGCACACGGAGACCCTGTCCCCGTGATGCACGGACCCCCCCCGCCACTCCCCCCAGCCCGGGCCCCGCCGTCTGCCCTCTGTGTCTGTGAGTCTGACGACTCTGGGACCTCGTGGGAGTGGGGTCCCCGTGCGTGTCCTTCCGTGTCTGGCTCGTGTCCTCGGGGCTCATCCTTGTGGGGGCAGGGGTCCAGTTCCCTTTGTCTTTAAGGCTAAGTTGTATCGATCTGAGTTTTCCTAACAAAATGTGTCGGCGTCCTTGTAGCATGAATACCTCACGTGGCGGGGCAGTTCCTGCTTGCTCTGACCTTGGCCGTGGGTCCCACCCACCAGGTGAAGCGCAATCTCCTGAACGTGTCCTACCGCATCGCACAGTACATGGACGTCATTTCCGACCTGCGCAGGGAAATTGAGCGCCTCAAATCCAAAATTGAGACGCAGGAGACGGAGAAGAGACGTGAACCTGGCGTCCGGGATGCGCGAGGTAGAGCCGAGCTCCCGGGGCCCCTGTGGTTTTGCCGTCCCCTGCCCGGGACGCGTGGCCGTGGCCGTGGCCGTGGGCTTCAGTCCCAGCCCACCACGCTCTGCCTTCCATCTCCTGGCCCGCAGCATACGGAGCGAGTGGCTGCCTTCCCTGCCTTCTCCTGAGCTCTTCCTTCCTCCCAGATCCGTTTTTCTTTAAAAACATCATCTTCCGTTCCAGAATAATTTTAGATGTACAAAAAATGTTGCAGATAGTGCGGAGAGTTCTTCACTTCCCCTAATGTCAGCCTCTAAATTTGTATTTATTTATTGAGGCAAAGCTCACACAACTTAAGATTCACCATCTTCACAGGCACAGTTCCGTGGCATTCGAGGCTCGTCCACGGTGCTGTGTGGCCACCACCTCCATCTGGTCCCAGAGCATTCCCGCCTCCCCAGAGCAGACCCCATGCCCATCACACAGTTTCTCTCCATTCCCTGCTTCTTCCCAAACCAGACTTCGGTACGCCTACCTTAGGGGTGAGCATATCATAGCTCTTCCAAAAATTATAAAACTAATCAGTAAGTTAAAAAGGTACCCTTAAAAATGCCGGTAAGAAAGGTATACATATGTGTGTACATGTACATATGTACCTACATGCGTACGTGTTCTTTTGGCTGATTAAAATAAGTGTTGCCATAATAAATAAAGGACTTTTGAAAACCAATAAGAAAGAACCACCAGTCCAGAACTGAGTGAAGAAATGAATAGGTGATACAGAGAATTCCTAGTGGCCAACAAACACAGGGAGAGATTCTTAATTGCGTCAGGAAACAGACACACATTGAAACAATTTTCATTTATCAAATTGGCTAAAGCCACAACGTCAGGATGCTATAAAATGCAGGATGTAGATGGCAGCATAAACACTCTTCCTGGGTGTGTGAATTACCCTGTGTCTTTGGGAGGCCAGCTTCGTGGCAAACTGTTCAGACAGCGTGTGCATTCTGTGCCCCAGCCCCCTCACCCCTCCAGATCTGCGATGAGGCACGTGCCCTCCAGTGCCCAGGAGGTTGTGGGACCGTAGTGTGCCCCCCGAGGGGGTCCGGATGAGCAAACTGGTGCGTTAGGGAGGGGAGGGCAGGGCAGGCCCGTCTGTGCAGCCCGACCCCACGCAGGCATGTGGCTCATGTCTGTTGTTACGGGAATTTCCAGCACTGGTGGAGAAGAAAGGCCACAATGGCAGCCCCCGACCAGAGCCGCCACTCCTCGCCAGGCTGCTCACTCGCTCTGTCCTCCTACGCGGCCCCCATCCCATCATCTCGAAGGGTTAGGGTTGGTAGGCATGCATGTTTCTAGCAAGCCCATCGGTGTCATTGGGCCACACCTCAAATGTGGTCTCTTCTATTAAGTGGGCATCCCCTCTTCCTTTTTGTGGTTTGCCTTTTGATTCTTGCTGAAGAAACTGAGTCATTTGTCCCGTGGATTTGCCGACAGCTCCATGCTCCGAGTTCCTATAAATCAGTAGTTGTATCTAAATGTTGGGAAGAGGGGGCGTTCCCTGAGGCCACTGCTGTCATTTTGATGTGAGCCTGTCTGGATTGTGTTCTGTGCAGCGTCCCTAGAGAGGGACACGTGGTTTGTGCGCATGTACACGTGGGGCAGGGGATCGGCTTTGGGCTGTTAGGTAAGTGACACCAGCCTATGGCCGTTGCCCTGTTCCTTGTTTTCCTCACCCAGCGGTGAGTCCTGGGGGCCATCCACCTGCGCAGTGGGTCTGCCCCATTCTTTCTAACAGCCACGGAGCGTTCCACTAGAGTCTGAGTATCTCATCCTCTTTGATGGGTACTTTGGGGCTTTCTAGCTACTCAGCCTCCTTGGGCACATGGGTGCCCATTTGTCTTAGGTGATTTGGAGAGCTCAGAGTTCTGTTGGAGCAAGAAGGTGGAGGAAGTGTTCCATGAGGAGGGGCTGTTGCGGATGGCAGACTGAGTCCCATGGCGCCAACGGAGGGCTGGGAGGCCGGTGGGGGTGGAAGATGGGGTTGTTGTAGAGAATTTGCAAAGCTAGGTGGTGACCAGGATGCTTGGGCTTCTTTGGGGCTGGGGGTGAATAGGGAGGCATGCCACAAGGGCCTTCACCCTGATGGCCTCTTAATTATTGGGGCTGGTCCTAGGTGGTCTGTACTGGGGAGGCGGGCAACATCGTAAGGGGGTGGTGGTCTCATGGTGAGCCCTGAGGGCGGGACGGGCTTCCCTTGGGTCCTGTGGCAGTGGGACACTGTGTGTATGCCTCTGCCAGGAGCATTATGAGAATGTCCAGGGTACCAAGTACTCCCCCAGAATCTTGTAATGACTACAATGGTCCAGTCTCTGGATGCATTGCTCATTTTGCCCATCTCAGATCACTTGGCATTTAAGGAAAAGGTGCCCCTTGATCCCTGCCCTCCAGGTCAGGGGAATAGACCATGTGTGGCCAGAGTGGAGCTACCAATGGGACAGTAGGGGAATACCATCAATTAATCGTGGACAACTATTAGGTAGGGACTTACATGGGAAACAAAAAGACAAAACTAGTTTGCTCTGTGGAACTTACGTTCTAGCAGGAAAGAGGTGTCAAAGGTATCACAAAACATTTATCAATTATCGATATGCAGAGGACTGTGAAGGAGAAGGCAGGATGTTATCAGAACAAGTGGCAGGTGGACCCAGCTTGAGAATCTGGGAGGGTTTCCATGAGGAAGTGAGGTCTGAGCTCAGATGGCTCGCCCAGCCACACCCCTCCTTGGATCCCTGAGACTCAAATCCAGGTAATCTGACCCCAAACCAGGCAAAGAGACCATCTAAACCATCCATCCAATTATCTACCTATCCACCCACCCATCCATCCATCTATCCATCTCTCCATCCATATCTCCACATCCATCTCCTCATCCATCCATTATTCATGCACCTATTCATCTGTCCATCCATCCATCCGTTCATCATTCATCTACCCATCCACCCATCCATCTCTCCATCCATCCATCCATCCATCCATTATTCACCCATCTATTCATCCATCCATCCATCATCTACCCATCCATCCATTCATCCATTATTCACCCACCTATTCATCCATCCATCCATCATCTACTCGTCCATCCATCCATCCATCCATCCATCCATCCGTTATTCACCCATTCATTCATCCATCCATTCATCATCTACCCATCCATCCATCCATCATTCACCCACCCATTCATCCATCATCTATCCATCCTTTATTTATTTATTTATTTAAGAGAGAGAGAGCGAGAGAGCAGGAGCAGGGGAGCAGAGGGAGAGGGAGAAGCAGGCTTCTTGAGCAGGGAGCCTGATGCAGGGCTTGATCCCAGGACTCTGGGATCATGAACTGAGCTGAAGGCAGACGCTTAACCGCTGAGTCACCCAGGCACCCCTATCCATCCGTTATTTACCCATCCATTGTCCATCCATCCATCCATCATCTACCCATCCATCCATCCATCCATCCATCCAACCATTATTCACCCATCCATTATTCATCCATCCATCCAAACATGTGTATAGAGTTCCTCCCTGGTGCAGACCCTGTATTGGTGGGCAAGCATGGAGTTCAACCCTGGCTTAGGTAGCACTGCTCCTGGGGCAGCTGGCTCTCTTCCTGCCCCCAGTCATGACTCCCCCCCATGATGGAGTGGAGGATAGCCGCCTGCAGATGAACAAGATACGGGCCCAGCTCATTGGGGCCTTCAAGGAGCAGTTGGAGATGCGGCACAGCCTGATGGAGCTGGAGAACACCAATATAGAGCTGCACATTGACACATCGCGCCACCTGCTGACCATTGCAGAGTGAGTGTGCCCACTTACCATCCCCATGGGGCAAGGAGGCCAGCCAGAACACGAGGGGCCACTGGTAGGAGTTCCTCTTGTGCTCTTGTCCAGCTTCTCTCTACTGCCTGCAGGTTGCCAAGGGGAACTTCAGTGAAGGGCACCCTCTCTTCCCGGGCAGGACTCCTGGCCCAATCCCTCCCTGCTCTCCTGCCCCTGTAGCTAAGCTGGGCCGGGTGGGGGAAGCCTTCTGGGTCCCTGTGATCTCTCTGTCCCAGGCTGGAGTCCAGAGCCAGCCCTGGCAGGTTAGGATCAGCCCCATTTCACAGAAGAGGACGTTGAGGCTCAGAGGGGATGTGGGTTTGCATACCCACCAGGCCAGGACTCTTCTGCCGTTCCACACGTCCTTGCTATTTGTACCTACTGTGAATAGACTGACCACATATGGAGGGACTGATCGTGCTGTTTGTCATCTAGAGCGGGACGCATTTGAGGGGGGAAGGGGCGCTATTTACAGTCACACAGGGAGCAGGTGTGCCCAGCCCTGCCCCGCACAAAATGGGATGCCTGGCTTCCCCTGCTTGCGGTAACTTAACGCTGAGCGCTTTCTTGTCCCGTCCTCCCCACATTTCTTCTCCTCCCGCTGCTGCTTCCTCCTTTCTGTTTATTTTCTGAGTTAGACAAACAGCGTGATATCTGCACCGCGGGAATTCTTACACCAGGAAATGCCCTCCCTCCATGCGTTGCGCCCAGCCCTGCTGCCGCTTCTGTCCTCCCTTCCTGCCGTTCTTCCCCCACGGTGCCCACCGTGCCCCTCCGAGGTGTTGCCCTGAGCGGGGGTCATCATGTCAATCCTCAGAGCCCCGGTGTACTGTTGCCCTCCTACGGCACGGGAGCCGGGCTCAATGGGGACGCGTTTGCGTACAGGTGGCCGAGGTTCCCGGGCAGAGCCGGGCTTGGAGGCAGGGGAATCCTGCGCTTAATCGTCCGGCAATCCTGCTTAATGGTCACTGCCTCTTTGTTTCCTTCCAGTTTTTGTTCATGCCTTTTTGTGTTTTACAAGTGTAGAAGCAATGAGGCGGCAGACCCGATTCTGCCCAGGCCCACGGGTAGACCAGCCCGGGCGTGGCTTGCACCCTGACCCCCGATCCCTCTGTTGCGGCTGCAGCTGGGAGCGGGAGAAGACCCACCAGCACGCGCACAGTGACGGGACTCCAGAGAGGGACGAGGAGCCGGCAGAGACCGATGTGGATGGGGACGAGAGCGAGTCTGCGGAGCCACACGAGGTGGCTCTGGCCAGAGAGGAGGTCAACATGCTTCTCGCCGAGCAGCGGAAAACCGCGGCCATCAAGGTGGGGGAGGGGGCTGCACATGCAGGTCACAGCAGGGGTGTGACCACAGCGCACCGGGTCGGGCCGCCAGCACCGTACTGCCGTCGGGGACGGCTCGGGGAGCCGAGATAAGCTGTTCCGCGTCCCTGGAGGCAGGAAGAGCTGAGCCGGGATGGGACCTGGGCCGACCGCAGAGTCCATGCCCTTCCCGCTAGTGACGGCCACAGGGGGCCGCAGGGGGCAGCAGGGGGCAGCGCGCAGCAGGGGCGGCCCCGGCTGGAGAGCCACTGGGTCCGTACAGTGGTTCCCGTGTGCAGGTGTCTGTTCAGGCTCGTGGAGGAGGCATCTGATGAGGTCACGCTGCTGATGGCAGGTGGCACTTACTTCACTCAAAAACCACGTAGCCAAGCCGAGAACTCCTTATGTTGTCGCATCTCCCCGAGCAGTTTGGAGATGATGCGATCTCACTTCGAAAGTCCTCCAACATTTAAAAAAAATAAGAAAAATGCCTTTCGCTTAAACCAGGCATGTGCATCAGCAGAGAGCATGACTTCAAGAGTCAAATACAGGCATTGAGATGCAGTGTAGCAGGAAAACAGGAGTCCATTAATTAGTTAATTAATCTGTGAATCAAAAACAAATCGATGTTTTAAGTGTCCAGCTGTGTGCCAGGCCTGGGGACGTAAAGATGAAAAAGACCGTCTCCGTGACTTACACTGTCAGTGTGCCGGGCTCTTCCCATCATCACGGACAGGGTGGTGTCGCGGTAACAGACGTACGGGCAGGCTGCTGGGGGCTGGTGGAGCGGCTGCGGACTCAGCTGGGGGCCGGGGAGGACCTTGGGCGGAGGGGCGGAGAACCGTGCTAGGGAGCCGAGCCAACTCCTCCCGAAGTCGCGCCCTCCCAATCTCAGAGGAGGAAGTGGAAGGCTGGAGCACGTGGTCCTGGGCCGCACTGGGGGTGTCATCCCACCTGTGCCTGGTACCGGGGTCCAGGGGGTGGGCACGCACGCTGCTTCGGCTGCAGCACTGGTTTCCTGCTGTGCACACAGCAGTGAGGGCTGAGTCCTGGGGTGTGTTCTAAAGTGTCATGTGTTCATAGACGGTCTGAGGCACAGTAGGGCCGACAGACCAGGAGACGACCGCCGTTGAAAATCTAGTCCTACTCACAATTCCAGAAGGAAGGGGCTCGGGATTTCATGCAGGGGACACACAGGGCCGGTCAGGAGGCAGAGGAAGGCCGCAGCAGGGGTGAGAGCCTTCTCGTGGTTTCCCCAGGAAGGAGGGGGCGAGGCGGGGTGAGCAGGCTCAGGCCCGGCTAGTTTGAGTAATTCCAAGGGGCTCTGGGGCTGAGGGGATGTCCTGGGTGTCTGGTCCCTGGGGGATTAGGGCAGGGGGACAGTGGCCCAGAGCATGAGAGCCCCATTTAGGAGGGGGTTGGGGTGCAGGCTCTGGGTTGGTTGGTCTGCTTTTGAGACGTGTGCTCCTGGGTGGGTGGTTTAGGATCCTCAGGAACGAGCTCGCCTTGGGAGGGGCAGTCCCTCCAGGGTCGGTGAGGCCCCAGGTGTGAAAGCATCAGAATGCAGACGATAAAGGGCGTGGTTAGTGCAGGGTGATGGCTACACGTTTTCGTGAGGCCAAGGTGCGAGGCCGAGCCCCCCGGGACGTGCTGGCTGGGAGCATGGACCGCAGGCGCCCGCCTGAGCGCTCCGTCCCCCCACAGGCCGGGCTGGAGCAGCGGCTGGCCAATGCCAAGAGGAAGGCGTTGCAGCTGGAGAAGCTGCTGCCCACACAGGTCATCAGCGAGGACCAGCGGGAGGTTCTGCGGCTGCTGTGCTGGGCGCACGAGCTGGAGCTGGAGAACACCGAGCTGCAGGCCAGCAGGCTCCGCCGGAGGCACCTGCTCTGTCAGAAGGACTTTGTGATCCAGCGTCACCACCAGCACCGGCAGCTCTGCGAGCAGCTCATCCATGACCTGTGGCAGCTGATTCAGGGTGAGGCCGCCCCGCCCCGGCCCCAGAAGGGGGAGGTGGGCACCGCATGCACGTGCTCGGACGAAAGCCTGGTCCCTGGGGCGTAGGAGGGGACCCCCGTCGGCCTTTACCCAGCCCTGTCCCCGGCCCTGTCCCCGGCCCTGTCCCCGGTCCTGACCCCGACCCCTGGCCCCAGCCCTGTCCCCAAGCCCCCATCCCCGGCCCTGTCCCCAGCCCTGTCCCCCACCCCCGGCCCTGGGTGTGAAACACTCCGCGATGCGCGGGAAGGCCAAACACAGTGTCAGAAATCCACTCAGATGCACACACGGGGCACAGACCGTCCTTGGGATAGTGCGGGTAGCCCCCCTCTCTGGAAAATCCTCCTTTATCAGGTTGGAATATCTGCCTTCAAACTTCCAAAAAAGAAGACACTGTCTTTCGCCCAAGTAGGGATGTCTGGCCCATCTGCGTGCTTTCCCGTGTCCTGCAGATGGCGGTATCCCAGTGCCGGAGGCCCTGGACCGGCGCTTCCGCCGGTACTCACGGGAGCTGGGCGAGGGCTCGCTGAACCGTCTGTTGTTGCTGCATTCGGTCATGTCCAGCTCCCTGCAGGTGAGTCGCCCTGGGGTCCCTCCCGCCAGCCCCGTGAGGGGACTGACCCTGATACGGGGGCAGGAAATTCAGGGAGCCCCCAGCCAGGTGCCGGAGCCGGCAGCACCGGGCTGGCCGAGCCAGTGGCCGGGCTTCGGGGAGGTCTCGGGGGGGCACCCTGAAGGTTTGCGAGGAGGGTGTTCTGGGGCTGAGCCCGGGGCCAGTGTGCCCTTCACCCCGCAGGCCTGTGCCCCTTGGCGGCTGCAGATTCTGTGTGGGAGACAGAGGGCGGAGGGGAAGGAAGCCAGAGCATGGGGCAGACCGTGGTGCCTCAGGGACCCTGGGAGGGGCGTCTTCTGGGGAACCTCAGTCGGTTTAGCTCTCCTCTGGGGCGTGCCGGCAGTCTCCTGCATGGTGGGGGCATCTGGGGTCGATTCTGGGGGCTCCCCAGGGAAGAGGGCCGGGGGGAGGGCCCTGCATCCAGTCTTCGGAGGGCTGCTGTTGTCACCACCTGGACCCCTGCCTGCAGCCCCTGCCCCCTGCTTCACCTTCTCAGGGGAGAAAAGAGAGCCCCCGCCAGGCTTCAGGCAGAGCAGGCGAGGGGCAGTAGCCCAGAAGCGTGGCACGGGCGGGGTCCAGGGATCTGAAGGCGTGTAAAGCCGCTTCCCACCCCGGGTGAGAGGTCCCGGGTACCCGCAGAACGCGGCCACTGGGGGCTCTCCTCCCCACTCCTGCCGTGTGTCCTGTAGTGCATGTCAGGGTCCCCAGGACCACCCCCAGGCGCACTTCTCTAGATGCGCTCCCAGAACTCAGGAAGGCTGTTCTACCGAATTGCAACTCCGTCCCCAGGGAGCACGCAGCCCCTGCGCCACCGTCTACTCTCTGTCTTTATGGGTTTGGTGACCCAGGGACCTGATAGTCCTTGTCCATCTGGCATTGGCTTCTTACACCAAGCACGACACCCTCCAGGTCTGTCCCTGCGGGAGCCGGCATCACAACATCCTTCCTTTCTAAGGCCGAGGGATGTTCCACGGTGTGGATGGGCCACCTCGTGTCTGTCCAGCCGTCTGCCGATGGACGTGGGGCGCTTCCACTGTGTGGCTGTTGGGAGTGATGCTGCCAAGAACATGGGTGTAGCAGCATCTGCTTGAGTCCCTGCTTCTGGTTCTTCGGGTGCATGCCCGGGGGTGGGGTTGCCGGGTCACGCGGTGACTGTGTGGCTTCTTGAGGCTGTGCCCTGGCGCTCCATGGCACTCACCCTTTGCACAGAGTGTCCTTTCTGTCTCTGTGCCGGGGAGGCACAGCCCGAAGTGAGCCTCTCTGCCTGTCCCCAGGATGGCTCGGTTCTGAACCTATCCCCCCCACCGCCGGACGAGGCCGGCCACGACCAGCCAGATGACAGGAAGGACCTCCCATGGGGCGCCCAGTTTGAGCTGCCGCGGATGCTGCTGCAGACGGACAGGTACCCACGCCCTCCCCTCTCCCGCCCGGGCATGGCCGTGCCCTTGGCTGGTGGGGTGCCGCCCCAGGGCTCATGGCCCCAGAGTCTCCTGTCGGGAAGTCCGTCTACCGTCCCTTCCTTGCAGGGCTGTTTAAGATGAACACACACGTCCCAAGAGGTGCTGGTTGTGCAGGGAGGTTACGAGGCTGGGGAGCTGGCTGCTAGAAGGGTGGCTTTCACTTTGGGTGTATTTTGTTCCCTCGGCGTCCCACCGCGTCCCACGGCCGATGCTTGTCTGCTCTCCTGCTGACTTTTGTCTTGGTGACTTCCACCACCAGAGCAGACCCGTACTCATCACTCACAGACTTGCCCCCAGTTTTCATGTTAGCACTGACCAGGTTGTGTCCCCGTCTTAGCCGCTCGTCTGCCTGATAGAACGTCCCGGGCGGGGGGCTCACACCCGGTGCCTACTTCTCATGGTTGTGGAGGCCCGGCGGCTGCCGTGGAGGGGCAGCGGGGTGCGTTTCTGGCAAGGAGCCTCTCCCCAGCCCGTGCACGCTGTGTCTGTGCCGCGTGCTCATGTGCTGGAGAGACCCCTCTCCTCCTCTCTTGAAGGACGCAGTCCTGTGTGCTCGGGACCCCCCATGCTGACCTCCCGAAGGCCCCTCTCCAGATCAGTCGCATCGGGGGCTTCAGCACAGGAGCTTTGGGAGGACCCGGTTCAGGTCACACTGTCCCCCAGGTCACACACATTGTGACACGTCCCCCCAGAATGTCAGTATGCAGTTCTACAGCTGGGACACCTCTGTCCATGACCACAGTGCAGTTAGCATCCCCAGCAAAACTAGCGACACGTCGTCGGCGTCACCTCTGATCCTTGCTAGGGTCACAGTTCTCCAGTTTGACCCCAAATTCCTGTGCCGCTGGTTTGTCTAACTCAGGTGCAGCGAGGGCCCCAAAGCCTAGGCTTGATCCCTGCCCTTTGGGGGAATGAAAACAGCAGGGCTCCAGCCTTGGGGTGTGCATGCGTGTGTGTGTGTGTACATGCGTGCACACACGTGTACATGGGCTTCTTGGTGTGCAGGTACCTTTATTGTGCAAGTGCGTGCATGCACGTGTTTCACGGTGCGTGTGTATGTTTGGGAATGTGTGTGCACGTGTGTGTGCATATGAGAACAAAGTGCCCCATCCCCCCAGTCAAGACTAGATGCCTCTTCCACCTGCTCCTTGGCCCACACCTGCCTGAGCTTGCCACTTGACCCATGGATTAGAGAGGACGGATGTTGGCCCCACTCTGACACAGGGCTGATCGCAGGTCGGTTGTGAAGTGAGCCCTTCACCTCCAGCCCTCAGTGTAGGGAGGAGGGGGTCTGCCCCGCGGCGGCCTAGACTGTGGCGACACAGCGGGCCAAGCCACCTGCAGGCCGTGAGCCAGAGCGCGGGCTCCATGTTCCAGACGGCACGAGAGGAGCTGGGCCTCCCCGCAGCCAGGCTGGGCTGCTGACACCCTGCCCTAACAGGGTCGAGTCGCTGGGACCCTGCCTGTGGGCCGTGGGCAGCCAGCCTTTAGGCCAGGCTGACCGGTGCTTGAGTCCCTGGTCTGCCAGTCACCTGTACCATGATCCTGGTCAAGCAGTTGCTGGGGTCAGCATACCTCCGTGCAGGGCTGCATGTGCCTGACGTGGTGGGGACGCGCTATGCAGAGCTGCCGTCATGAGGACAACCCCACCTGAGGGGGTGGAGGAAGGAAGCCGGTCAGCTTGCCTCGCATGTGAGCAGGACTCCCGTACTGGAGTTGGGCCTCTGTCCCCAGACCCCTTCTAGCTTTCCGGTCACTGTCGGTCCTGACAGAATGCTTTTGGCTGCAGGTAACAGATTTCTCAATGAGATTGATCTAATCAACACAGGTGTGTATTGTCTGATGAGAATTTGGAGGATGAGGGGACTCGGGGCCATGATTTAAATGACATGCCCATGTCCCAGGCATGTAAATAATGTCTCCCCTTAGAGTCAAAGAGGCTGCCACAGCTCCACAGATCACACCTCCATATAACCACACCTTAAAGAGGAAGGGAGGGCTGGGCTCTCTTTTTCATCTGGGAGAAAAATCCCTTCCAGAAGCTTCCCCTGTAGATGTCACTAGGTCAGTGGATCACCTGCTCTCTGCTAGGCCAGTTCCCTACAGAGAAGGGAAGGGGGGACCGTGACAGGCTCGGGCTGAGTCTGATCATGTCTCAGGGCGGGCCACGCTGTCACTCTGAGTCACACTGGCGCTCGTTACCCAGCGAGAAGGGGCGGCCGCTGGGCGGGCAAGCAGAGTATCTGCAAACCTCACTACGTGTTCGTTGAGCACCCATGCCAGGCAGTAAGAAGTGAACAAGGTGGACGTGCCCCCTGCCCTCGACCTGCTGTCCCTGCAGCTACAATGGGCAGGCCGGCAGGAGAGGGTGCAGTTTGCTCCCGGACCCCAAGGGGGTTCCCATGGCAATGTCCTGAGTCCGGAGCTGGCATAGGAAACGTTGCTGCCCACGTCAGATGTGGCCCTCGGCGGGAGGGAGCTGGGCGCGCCGACGGCCGTGGGGCACCCCACACCAAGCACATACGTAGTCTTATTCCACAGGTGCCAACAGGGCTGGAGGGGCTCAGCAGCTTGCTAGAGGTTCACCATGAGGAAACGCCGGCCAGGCATGTGTCTCTAGTTTGGAGTCCTGGCCATGGGGGTAGGCGGCCCTGCACTCTCCTGATAGCACCCCGGAGGCCTCCGCAGTTCACACAGTGCTTAAACCCCTTGTCATCAGCCTCATGGTGAGCGAGCAGTCTTCCCAGCAGCTCGGCCTATCACCACTTGGATTTCGTAGACGAGAGAGCAGAGGTCAGGGGCGCAAGCCCACTCATCAGGGAGCCTGGGTGTGACGTGTGATGCTTCGTTCTTACAGTCGCGGACGACCTGCCTCGACAGGAGGCTGCTAGAAAGCCCTGTTCTTGCAGAGTAGACCCATAGGACCGGGGGAAGTTCTGGAAGGTTGTCTGCAGTTCCTCCCCTTCCAACGGCCAAAGTCTTCCACATGCAGGGTCCTGGGCCAAGTCTATGTCTCTGTTCCATCCTCCTCTCCTTGCTGTGTCTTGGATGTGCCAAGCTGGTCCCTGCCCCAGGGCCTTTGCCCGTGCCATTCCCCAGCACTCAGCACAGCTCTTCCACTGCCATTCCTTGGGTCTCAGCTTGGACGTTTCCTCCTGTTCCATTTCTCCCGTGGCAGATCTAAGGCCAGCTGGGTGTGCGGCAGCCCAGTTCCGGCACTAACCACCCAGAGTTGGTGTAGACCCCACCAGGTAGGGCCTCCGTCCTCTACAAGATTGCCCCCGTGTCATGGAGGCCGGCGGCCCAGCCGCCTGCAGGTGGAGTCCCTGGGCCACCCGCGCTTCTGTCCAGCTGGCCACCACTTCGGGGGTTCCTGCGGCCCCCTCAGGTCTGATAAGGACTCAGGGCTCACGCGCCCAGTGTGTCCCCCGACCTTGCCCTGGCCTGACGTGGGCCGCAGCGTCCCAGGGCTCAGGCTCTGCTTTCCTCGGCTGGACGAAGGGCCGAGGGGCCCCGGCAGCTGGCTCAGCAGATGCGTCCGTGTGTCCCCCACAGCAGCGGCTGCAGATCGTCGCAAGCCACACCATCGAGAACGCTGGGCAAGCCCGATTCCCTTCTCCCTCCACCGTCCCTCCGCATCCTGCTAACCCCACCAGCTCACGAGGTTTGTGTGCTGCCCTAAGCAGGGCCCGGGCTCTGGGGAGGCCTCCCCTGCCCCCGCAGAGCTGTGGGGCTGGGCAGACAGCAGATGGAGGTGCTCCGGGGAGGGGCAGGCTGTGAATATTCACGGCTTTCCTATGAACTATGAACTATCGTTAAGAAGCTGCTAGATTCGTGATTACCAGTGGTAGTGTGAGTGAGCGCTCTTACCCTGGGTCACATGCTGGGGATGCCCCCTGTCCTAGTGGGAGTGCTGGGAAGCTCAGGCCCCTGGAAGAAGCCCCATCCGTGACTCCAGGTGGTGCGGAGATGCCCTGGGCTCCTCGGCCCTTGGGAGTGCTGACCTGTGGCTCCAGGGTGTCCTGGACCCAGGGACTGGCTTCTTCACGCACCTTCCTTGGCCCTCCTCCCACCCCACTTGCCCTGAGTCACTGGCCCCGAGTCAGTTTCTGGGGCCCAGCAGGGGGCGGGCCAACCTGAGCGGCCTGGTAATGTCTGACCATCGCTGACGCTGGTCCCTACAGCCATCGAGCTCCCTGAGTATGAAGAACTTGGTCTCCAAGGTGTGCCCCCCGACTGGCCTGGACCTGGGCCGCTCGCAGATGGCAGTGGAGGCCAGCGGCCCAGCCCTGAGCGCTCAGGCCCTCAAGGAGATGGCCATGAGCACCAAGAGCATCGCTCTCATCGCAGCCACCCGGCGCTCCAAGGCTCAGGACCGTGAGGGTGGCAGTGGCCACTCCTCCCTCCACCTTCCGGAGGAGGTGGCCCTGGACTCCAGGGACCCGAAGGCCAGTGTCACCCCGGAGCCGAGCCCAGGCAGCGATGGTTCTGCAAAGAGGAAGGCCAGGAGGAAGTGGTCACCCTCCCTCACCTGGAGCGCGCAGCCGGTGGGTGGACATTGGCTGGCCCCCTAGCCCAGTCGCGGGGTCCAGCTGGGACGGCAGAGAGGGAGGGTCGGACCGACCCCCACTGTTATGGTGGAGGCAGGAGGGCCCCAGGTGCGGAGGAGGAGGAGGGAGGACACCTGGGCCCCCACCCCTTCTTCATCGGAAGCTGGGTGCGTGCCTGTTTTCAGTAGCCACATCACAGTGCGGGCACCAGCTTCTCATCTCCTGTTCTTCCTAGATGTTCCTTTATAAATTCTCAAGTGCCCACGTGGTATTGGCATTTTTACCCTGAAAAGGTACATTGCTTGGTTCTAGCACCCGTCAGGCACATAGTAACCGTGTGAGTCGTGAGGCGCTGCCCACCACGCGGTGTCTCTCCTGCAGGAGCCTGGCCCCGGGCCTGGCCTTCCTCTCTGCAGAGAGGTCCCTGCCCAGGCTGGCGAGGGGCTACCTCCGGTCTGCTGGGCTCGGGTCCGGGGTGCGCCTCCACTGCCGGGACTGAGCTCCACGCGCTGTCCATTGTGCGGCCCCTGATGGTCATCTGCTCCCCATCCTGACGCCAAGTAGGCCGTCTTTCATTTCTGACCACTTCAGCATCCCTCTGTGGGCAGTGTTCCTCGTTTCTAGTTACCTTTTTGGGACACTGGACCGTGTTGACCTGTGGAAGTCTCCACAACATTTAAGCAGAATCCAGCACACAGCAGAGCGCCACACTGATCACTCCCTGGCCACACTGATCAACTTGCTGACCACATTGATCACTCCCTGAATGCACCGGTCACTCGCTGACCACACGATCAACTTGCTGACCACACTGAACACTCCCTGGCCACACTAACCAACTTGCTGACCACACTGATCACTCCTTGACCACACTGATCACTCCCTGGCCACACTGACCAGTCACTGACCACTCCCTTGCCACACTGACCACTCCCTGACCACACTGATCACTCTCTGACCACACTGACCACTCCCTGGCCACAGTGATCACTTTCTGACCACTCCCTGGCCACACTGATCACTCACTAACCGCACTAATCACTCACTAACCACACTGATCACTCGCTGACCACACTGACCAGTCACTGACCACTCCCTGGCCACACTGATCACTCACTAACCACACTGATCACTCACTAACCGCACTGATCACTCGCTAACCACACTGATCACTCGCTGACCACACTGATCACTCACTAACCGCACTGATCACTCTCTGGCCACACTGATCACTCACTAACCACACTGATCACTCGCTGACCACACTGACCAGTCACTGACCACTCCCTGGCCACACTGATCACTCACTGACCACACTGATCACTCACTAACCG